AGCATTATCCCATGTACCAAAAGGTTGCAGGTTCAATTCCCAGTCGGAGCACATATCTAAGATGGAGGTTCAATCCCTGGTGGGGGTGTGTACAGGAGACAATTGATCAATGTTTCTCTCTCAATAAACATATATCCTCAGATGAAGATTTAAAAAAACCTACACTGCTCATGTCAATAGATGCAGAAAAAGCCTTTAATAAATAAATATTCAACATCCTTCACAATGAAACCCCACAGCTAACATCATGATACTCAATGGTAGAACAGTGAAAGCTTTTCTTTTAAGATGAAGAACAAGACAAGAATGTCTGTTTCACCATTGTATCTAAGATTACTAGATTTTAGCCAGAGCAATTAGATACAAACAAACAAACAAACAAATAAATAAATAAAAACATTCCAATTGGAAAGGAAGGAGAAATATTTCTATTCACAGGCGATAAGATTTTATAGACAGATCTTAAAGAAGCAAAAAGACAAAACAAAACAAAAACAAAAACAACTATTTGTACTGGTAAAAATAAATCCAGCATATTTGCAGGATATAACTTACACACAAAAAATCTCCAGTAGTAATGAACAATCTGAAGAGGACATTAAGAAAACAATTCCATTCATACAACATCCCAAAGCCAATGAAAACTACAACACATTGCTGAAAGAATTTAAAGACTTAAATAAATGGAAAAACTGTGTTCATAGACTGCAGACAATACTAAGATGGTAATACTTCCCAAAGTGATTTACAGATTCAGTGCAAGCCTTACAAAACTCCCAACAGCCTTTTTTGCAAAAGAAATAGAAAAGCTGATCCTACATTTCCTACACAGTTGCAAGGGCCCCAAGTAGCCATAACAGCATTTTTGAAAAAAGAGAATTACCTATATTTTTCGGACCATAAGACACACCTACGTTTTAGAGGAGAAAGATAGGGAAAAATTTTTTGAAGCAAAAAATGTGGTAAAATATTTAATAACATAAATAACATAATATTTCACCAACGTAAATGTAAACAGAACTCAATAGCAGCACTAACAACCATTATTCCTCCCAATTTTGGGGAGAAAACAAGTCTCATCTTATAGTCCAAAAAGTGTGGTAAGTTGAAGGACTTATACTGCCCATTTTCAAAACTCACTACCAAGCTACAATAATCAAAACAGTGTGGTACTGGTATAAGACCAGATATACAGAAAAAAAGAATAGAATTGAAAGTCCAGAAAGAAAGCCAAGCATCTATGGTCAATTGATTTTTGGCAAGCGTTCCTAGACTACCTGATGGAAAAAGTCTGTCTTTTTATTTTTTATTTTGAAGATTTTATTTATTTTTGGACTGAGGAAAGGAAGGGAAAAAGAGAGGGAGAACATCAATTAGTTGCCTCTTGCGCATGCACCAACTGGGAACCTGGCTGCAACCCAGGCACGTGCCCTGATTGGGAATCGAACCAGCAACTTTTTTCTTTTGGGACAATGCTCAACCAACTGAGCTACACCAGTCAGGGCAAAAAAGAATCATCTTTTCACCAAATGGGAAAAACTGAATACCCACATGCAAAAGAATAAAGTTGGATTCTTATTTTATACTATATGGAAAAAATTAACTAAAAATGGAGCAATGACCTAAATATAAGAGCTAAAACTCTTAGAAGAAAACATAGGGGCAAGTCTTCATGACCTTAGATTTGGCAATACTTTAGATATGACACTAAGAGCATAATCCACAAAAGAAGAAAAAACAGGTAAACTGGAGTTCATACAAATTAAAACCTTTTGTGCATCAAAGAACACAAACAAGAGAGTGAAAAGACAACCCACTGAAGAGGACAAAATATTTGCAAATTGTTTATCTAAGAAGGATCTAGAATCCTGAACATGTAAAGGACTCCTACAACTCAATGCAAGACAAACAACTCAATTCAAAAACAGGTGGAAGACATAAACAGATATTTCTCCAAAGAAGGTACAGTGACCAATAAACTCATGAAAACACTCTCAGTGTCATTAGTTATTTGGGAAATGCAAATCAAAACCACCACATAATCAAAAGGAATGGAAAAAAAACCACCAAGTGTTAGTGAAGGAGTAGAGAAACTTCTAACTTTGCTGGTGAGAATGTAAAATGTTTCAGCCACTGTAGAAAATAATTTGACAATTCCTCAAAAAGTTAACCATAGAGTGAAGTTATAGCCCAACAGCTGCACACCTAGGAATTTGCTGCAAAGAACTGAAAACAGGCACTCACACAAAAACTTGTACATAAATGCTTACAGCAGCTCTCTCTTTTTAAAGATTTTTATTTATTTATCTTCAGAGGGGAAGGGAAGGAGAGAGGGATAGAAACATCAATGTATGGTTGCCTCTCATGCGCCCCCCGCTGGGACCTGGCCTGCAACCCAGGCATGCGCCCCAACTGGGAATTGAACCACAATCCTCTGGCTCGCAGGCCCGGCTCAATCCACCGAGCCACACCAGCCAGGGCAGCAGCTCTCTTCATAATAGCCCAAGGTGGAATCAACTTAAATGTCACCAACTAGTGGATGGATAACAAAATGTGATCTATCTATACAATGGAATATTATTCAGTCTTTCACGAACACAGTACTAATACATGCTACAACATGGGTGAATTTCAGAAACAGCACACTAAGTAAAAGAAGCCTGACATAAGAGGCCTCATGTTATGACTCTTTTTATATGAAATATCCAGAATAAGCAAATTCTTGGGGACAGAAAGCAGATTAGTGGTTGCCAGGGACTTGGAGAAGTAGAGAATGGGGAGTGACTGCTTATTGGCTATGGAGTTTCCTTGTGGTGTGATAAAAAATCTGGAACTCGATAGAAGTGATGGTTGCACAACATTTGAGAATATACTAAATGCTACTTCAAAATAGTTTAAATGGTAAATGTTACATATACTTTAACACTTGTGTATAAAACATTACATGGCTCTCTAATATTCTTATGATCTGCCTTCAACTTCCTCTCTTTGCTTAACTCCCTGATTCCTCCTCCCACTCCTAACTTCTCAGTTTTTTTACACTCCAAACTGTTTCAAGCCACTGGTTGTTCTTTATACATAATGTTTCCACTGCTGGGTAAGACTTTCAAGTCTCAGCTCAAACATTCATCTAACAATTATTGACTTAAAGACTCCTGTATTCCAGGCACCATGTTAGGCACTAGAAATACAACAATGAACAAAACAGACACAGACCCTTTCCTTTGGAGCTTAGAGGCCAAGGAGGGGTGGTGAGTGACATCAAATAAATTATTTTCACTCTAATTGGTAGCTATCTTCCAAACAGATCAGCGCACCATGACGGCACATCATAAAATGTCCCTCTCCCAGCTGGGGGGAGAGAATGAAAGGAAAGGTTCCTTGAAGAAGAAACATTTAAACAAAGCCCCGAAGAATACAGAAGTAAGTAAGTTAGGTGTAGATGGGCCATTTTTAGGAGGCCCAGAGCCCTCCCTCTAAGTAGACAAACCTTTGAGCTGGTCACCAGGACTCTTGGCATTGGAAAGAGCTGAACCTCTCAGCAGCCATACAACCTTAGCTCCTACTCCCACTAGCCACACACTAGAAACAGTTCTAAGGACTCTGGGATTTGAAAGAAAAAGGAGCAGGGAACTTTACCCCATGATCTCATAACTGTTCTCTGGAAAACCATTTCAGGCTCCACTTTTGTTGTTTGAGAGACTTTCCTGAACTGCTCTTAAGGCCTTCATGTTAACTCCCTTTTGAAACCCTTTCTTACTCTCCCTTTCCTTTGTGCTCCAGTGTGTCTCCAATACATCTAATCCCTTACTTGCCTGTCTCTCAGAATTTGTATTCATGTGGACCCTGTGAAAGAAGACAATCAATAAGGGCTCCTATTGGCTAACTGGGCTCAAATATTTAAAAAAAACAGAGCCTAATAACCATTTCTACACAAGGTCCTCTCATGCAAATTGGTATTCACAGAGAAGCCTGCTCTGAACTGCCAGCCTGCACTGTTTTTGCCACCTGAGCAGCCCTTACAAAGGAGTTCCTGGAATCCTATTTCAACCGCTCGGACTGACGCTTTTTCCAATCCATCTGAGTCGTGCAACTATATTTCCCCCGCCAACCAGAGGGGCTCCATTCTGAACAAGGACTATAGTGTCTTTTGGACCAAACTGCAAGGATTTGGAGTCCTCATTTGCATAAAGAAGGACTGATTAGGGATCGGGGGTGGGACTTATGTCTATACAAATCAGTTTCCCTTCCGAGCATTTTCCTTGTCCACCTAAGAATGTTTCCCCAGCTGAAGCTCAAAGACCCATGGCTGTTTTGCACTGGATAAAGTTTCCTTCTTCACTGCACCCCAAGTTAGGGATTCCTCTGTTGAATTGGTAGTCAAGGGCGATTGCTGGCATTAGGAAAAAGTCTGAGATCTGCCTCTAACCTCCAAACCGTAGAGTTGCCCCGTCAATAGGCCCTTAAAAGCTGTAGAATCGACATGTCTGCAGAACAGCAGGGGGGATGGCAGAAAATAGGGTTCCCTGGGAATGATCAGGCAGGGCTTGAATGCCAAGTTAAAGGAGCTTGGTCAGTGATTCCCAAATTCATCGGGTTTTAGAATCCCGAGGGAAGAATGAGTGAACGGCGGGAGGACCCAAGGTTTTTAGGCAAATGAGTAAAACCTCTTCATTACATTAAAAAAATGTCTATCAGTCAGTCCTAAGAGAAGGCAGGTGGCCACTGCCAACGGTCTCGGGGACACAGCGAAGACCCACAGGTGAGAGAAGTCGCCTTCATCCCTATTCCCGGTGCCCACCACGATGTCCCACTCCATGGGCCTCACCAAGCACAGCTGCTAGGAAATGCGTATCCTTACCCGCCTCATGCGACCTTTGGACAGCAGGTCAGCGATCCCCTTGGCCGCGTCGTTTTTCTCCGCCACACAGAGGACTTTACGCACGCTTCGGAAGTCCACCTCCATGACGGAGGCGGACAAATTTCGTCTTCCAGGCCAACGCACACAGCGGAGCGCGCAGCGGAGGACGGGGAAGATCATCCCGAGTGCTCCCGCATGCTGGGGAAATCGAGGTGAGTGCCACCCCGAGCCCACCCCAAGGAATTAGAGACGCCAGGAGCCGCCAGTGCCATGAACACCGTTCCGGTCTCCTCCCTTCAGCCCGCCGGGCTTCTGAGTTGCAGCCTCTTCCCCTCTTCTTCACGACCGCCGCCAAATCCCGCACTGCCACGCTCCGCTCCCGCCCGTTTTCTCCCACCACTTCCGCCAGTCCACAGGGTCCAGAACTACAACTCCCACGCTGCCCCGCGCTCCTGCCCCTAGTCCCAGCACGTTTCGGCACCCCCACATTTCCTCTCCGTCCAAACAGTAGTTTCACTAATTGGTTCTTGGTGGAGGCTGCTCCACAGTCCCGCCCAAATCTCCCCCTTTGCCATAACTTTTTTCTCTCCCTCTCGGAAGTCTATGTGGCCGCTTCCGGGTCACCCGGCGCCGACACCGCGAGTCACGTGATATCAAGATGGCGGCGCCGATGTAGCTGGATTTTGGTTGTGGCGTCCAAGCAGCCGCGACGAGTTTTGTCTCGGGTTGTCGGGGCAGCAACGCTCAGTTGGCCTCTGCGGCGGTTTGCAGCCCCATGTTAGGCACCACTTCAGGGCCGAGGCTGTTGCTGTCACCGGTCGGTTCGGAGAAGTTCCGGTGACCTCGCTGCAGGTGCTGTGCGCCGGCTATCCTCACCAGGGGAGGAGGAGGAGAAGGGCGGCCGGCCTCCCCGGTCTTCTGGACCTGCGGAGTTCATGAAGCCTGGAGAGCCCTGTGGGAGACACACCTTTGAGGGGCTGCGGGAGTTTGCGTTTGCGGAAGTGTGAGAGGCAGCCAAGTACCCCTAAAGGCGCAAAGAAGACAGCAAAGGACTTTGCTTCCTCCTCCGAAGTCTTGGCTTCCCTGTGTTGATAACCCCAGCTTTCTTTTTTCACTTTCTTTCAATGTTCTCTCCGTATATCTGGAAATAATGATCAGCGCCCCTGACGTGGTGGCCTTCACCAAAAAGGATGAGTACGAGGAGGAACCTTACAATCAGCCGGCCCTGCCTGAAGAGTACTCGGTGCCGCTCTTCCCCTTTGCAAGCCAAGGAGCTAACCCATGGTCCAAATTGTCCGGAGCCAAGTTCTCTCGGGATTTCATCCTTATTTCCGAGTTCTCGGAGCAGGTGGGACCCCAACCCTTGCTGACCATCCCCAATGACACCAAAGTTTTCGGTACTTTTGATCTCAATTACTTCTCCTTGCGGATAATGTCTGTGGATTACCAGGCTTCTTTCGTGGGCCATCCCCCTGGTTCTGCTTATCCCAAGCTGAACTTTGTGGAGGATTCCAAGGTGGTACTGGGAGACTCCAAAGAGGGAGCCTTTGCTTATGTGCACCACCTGACCCTGTACGACCTGGAGGCCCGTGGCTTTGTGAGGCCCTTTTGCATGGCTTATATCTCAGCAGACCAGCACAAAATCATGCAGCAGTTCCAGGAGCTTTCAGCCGAATTTTCCAAAGCTTCTGAGTACTTGAAGACAGGCAACAGGAAGGCCTTTGCTGTGGAACTTGAAAAAAAACTGAAAGACTTGGATTACACCAGGACCGTGCTGCACACTGAAACGGAGATCCAGAAGAAAGCCAATGACAAAGGCTTTTACTCATCTCAAGCAATTGAGAAAGCCAATGAATTGGCTAGTGTAGAGAAGTGTATCATTGAACATCAAGACCTGTTGAAGCAGATCCAGTCATACCCTCACCGGAAGTTGAAGGGGTCTGATGTGTGTTCTGGGGAGATGGAGCATACTCAGGATCAGCCTGACCAGGCAGGCACTACTAACCCTGATGAATGTGCTGACACAGACCTTTACACCTGCAGACCTGCCTACACCCCAAAACTCATCAAAGCAAAGTCCACCAAGTGCTTTGACAAGAAATTGAAGACCTTGGAAGAGCTCTGTGACACTGAATATTTCACCAAGACTCTGGCTCAGCTCAGCCACATTGAGCACATGTTCAGAGGAGACCTGTGCTATCTCCTGACTAGCCAGATTGACAGAACACTACTAAAGCAACAGAGCATAACAAACTTCCTCTTTGAAGACTTTGTGGATGTCTATGACAGGGTGGTAGAGACACAAGAAAGCATACCATCTAAGCCCAGTCAAGACAGGCCGCCTTCCAGATCTCTACAAGAATGCCAAGTTCCTCAAGTGTTAATTAGTTTTGGCTCTTACAAGTCCAGTGTGGAGTCTGTGCTGATCAAGATGGAGCAGGAAGTCGGAGATGAGGACTACAAGGAAGTGGAGACAACACAGTTGAACAGTTTTGACCTCCAGGAAAATTTGGGCTACCTGGATATAGATATGAAAGGCAGTATCAGCAGTGGTGAAAGCATTGAGGTTCTAGGCACGGAGAAGTCTACTTCTGTGCTGTTTAAGTCTGACAGCCAGGCTAATCTCATGGTGCCACTGAGCCCCCAGGTGATCCGGAGCAAAGCAGTCAGCCACAGGACCATCAGTGAGGACAGCATTGAAGTCCTCAGCACCTGCCCCTCTGAGGCCCTCATCCCTGATGAGTTTAAGGCCAGCTACCCAAGTGCTATTAATGAAGAAGAATCATATGCAGATGATAGTGAGGGAGCCATCCACTTCCGGCCAAGCATCAGCCCAGTTGAGCTGGGTGAGCCAGAGGAGGGCAGCTTAGAAAACACCTCGTCCCAGGCGGACTCCTGCTGCATTGGGAAGGAGAGTGATAGTCTGCTGGTGCCACTCTCTACTCCAGTCCACATACTCTCTGATGAGGATGGAGTAGTGAGCATCCCCCCACAGCGCTACAGGCAGAAGGACCAGGGATTCCACATAGACTTTGCAGTGGAAAATGCCAACCCTTCTTCCCGAGACAACAGTTCTGAAGGTTTCCCTGCTTATGAGCTGGACCCAAGCCACCTACTGGCTAGCCGGGACATCAGTAAGACCAGCCTGGACAACTACTCAGACACTACCAGCTATGTGAGCAGTGTAGCCTCCACCAGTTTGGACAGGACTCCCTCTGCTCATCTCACTGGCCCCTCTTCTGAGAGGCATAAAAAGAGGGCTGGGCAGAATGCCTTAAGATTCATCCGCCAGTACCCCTTTGCCCACCCAGCCATCTACTCCCTGCTCAGTGGGAGGACGCTTGTGGTCCTGGGGGAGGACGAGGCCATAGTCAGGAAGCTTGTGACAGCATTGTCCATCTTCGTGCCCAACTACAGCCGCTATGCCAAACCTGTGAAGCACTGGGTTTCCTCCCCTCTGCACATCACGGATTTTCAGAAGTGGAAGCTAATTGGCCTGCAGAGGTAATTGATTACAGGTAGTGGGGAATGGCCTTGTCCAATTAGAGATGAGGCTTCAAATGTACATCCCTCTGGGCGAAGTTAAAAGTTTGGGTGGTAGACCCAAAATCAGGAGGTCTGGCTTCCAGACTGGGCCCAGCATCAACTCACTGTTAACTCTTTTTTTTTTTTATATATATTTTATATATATCTGTAGAGGGGAAGGGAAGGAGAGAGGGAGAGAAACATCAATGTATGGTTGCCTTTTGTGTGTCCCCTGCTGGGAACTGGCCTGCAGGGAACTGGCCTGCAACCCCAGGCATGTGCCCTGACTGGGATTTGAACCGCGATTGTCTGGTTCGCAGGCCCATGCTCAATCCACTGAGCTACACCAGCCAGGGCCTCACTGTTACTCTTGGCAATTCATTCCCCTTCTCTGGCCCTGTGTTTCCTTGTCTGTCAGTCACATGAGGGGATTGTAGTTCCTAAGTGGTTGCTGATCCTGGTCTGTACCCTGCTGTGTCAGAATTATGGGAGAATTTTTTAAATTATGATTCCTGGGCCCCACTCAAGATTCTGATTCAGCTGGTCTGGGTTAAAGTAGGTGTACAGCAAGGTTTGGGAAAAGACTGGACTTGTAGATCTCAGATTCTTGCTGATTCTCAAATTCATACTATGGTGTAGATGACTATGAGAGATCTGCTTCTGAGAAAGGGTTGTGGTAATAGAAGAGGGCAGCCATTACTGGTGAGAGGGACATCCACAGGGCTCCACTGTCCTGTTTGCCTTTGAAGGCTGTCTTAATAAGGAAAAAGAAAAGCCACCTCCTTCTCCCTCTCTTTGAATGCGTTCTGTGTCACTTCCCCTGTGTTCCTTACTTGTGCTGTAGTAGATTCTTTTTATTTTTCCGAAACTGCTTGACAAGTTGTCTGGGTCAAGGGACTCTCCCTCAGTGTATGCACTATGTTCCGTTTCCTCAATCCCTTCTCTACACCCCACTTTGCTCATCTGCAAAGCAAAGGTTTTGAGCTAGGTGATCATGGGGGTCCAGGCTGACACAGCCTATGCTTCCCATACCACAAAGGAAGGGCAAAAGGAATTTCTCCCACACTGCAGTCAACTCCTGTTTATTCTAATTTTCCAACTTCCCATTTACATGAGTCCCTAGTATCAATGAGGTCACCACCCTGAGTCTCCTTGTGTTCACCTTTCATACAGAGGTCACCCAGACTTACCCTTGGCTGCATTAGGGTCATGGTGGGATTTAAACAAGTATCACTTCCATGTCAGGACTTGAGTCACTTGTTGAGAATCTACAGGCTATGCTGGTGGCTACAGGGTTATCCTCTGGAGGTACCTGAGCAAAGCCACTGCTCTGTAAGAATTTGTAGTTTAGGAGAAGGGGCAGACAGGCGACCAGAACCTTACCACACAGGAAAATGAGTGTTCTAACAGCAGGTGCTTTGTGTGTTCTAAGAAAAGAGTAATTTAGTGACAGGTGGGAAGGAGGAAGGGAGAAGGTCTGGGTGTTTGGTTTGAATGGCCTGGAGGGTTGGCTTGCCCTTGTGGGGGAAGAGTGACAACATGGGGAGCTTGGTGTGATGTACCTGAGACACCTGGACAAACTTATTCCTTGGGCACCATGGGAAACTATTAAGTCCTTGCTTAAAGATGCAGAATCCAAGGCTTATCAGGTTAGCTGACTGCACTGATTGCCCTTGCAGCTTTTGTCTTTCCTCCCACATTCCCGACCCTCAGTTGATGGCACCTCTGTGCTCTTGGGATTAACCATTCTGTCACAGGGAGGGAAGGGTTTTTCAGTGAACACATCTGTTCTCCAACTGGATTCCTTCATCCCAACCCTTGAACTTTGACTTTTTTACTTCAAAAGTGGAAAATCTAAAACATACATCAATGTATTGATGTCAGCTGGCTTATTGAGGACCAGGGTCACACAGTCTTACCCTTTCCACTGGCTTTCCATTAAAGTCTCTCCTTAGAATGTGCCAGAATGGCCACAGAGGTTCATTTCTTACACCAGCTCCAGTCTTTTGGGTACCTTACTGAAGTGCTCTGTTGAGGAATATTCTGAGGCCTGGGTTGGGCTGCATTGGAAATACTGCTGTCTCAATTAATGATGTCTCTGTGGGTGCAGCAGGGGGTAGCTGGCAGTATATTTGGAACCCTGGAATGGAGGAGGAGGTGTGAGGTGGTCTGAGTCCTGTGGTGCCCTTTCCCTACCACCGTTCATCCAAATTGGGCACCTTGACAAGTCACTCCTTCACTTGAGGCTTTGTTTCCTTCGGAGAAAATAAGAGGGTAGGGTTACTGAGTGATCATTTGCCAAGTACTTACTGAGGGCTGTATGCCAGCTGTTGGGCCCACTGCCAGAATTAGCAGCTGTGGTACATCCCAGGACAGCTCGAGCATGGCCTTCTCAGTCAACCCTGTCTTCAGCCCCAGCTTTGTCACCACTGTCAGCCTGACCTCTCCCGACAAGGAGAGGCTTGACTGTTTCCATCTGCAGAGGTTGCTGACAAGGCCTGCCTTGTGACTGCAGAGTTTGGAAGGCCCATCACATCTGATCTGTGCCCGAGCAGTATGAACCCTGCTCTGATATCCTACCAGGGCCCAGACAGACTGAGGAAGGCAGGCCAGAGCAGCAAGAGCTTAGTGTGGCCCACACCACCAGACTTCAGAGCCTTGAAGCAGCCCTCTGCAAAAGTGAGAGTCCTGTCAGAGTGACAGTTGAGATCTTTCCAAGAATCCCAAGTGGAGAAGTGATAACTTCTCCTGTGAAACTTTCCTGCTCAGACCTCCTGAGTGTGCCCATGTGCTGGGAATTGGGAGCATCTGCCTGCAGGGCATTTTGGAATGTTAGACAGGGGTCGGAGGCCTTGTTCCTTAGGGGGCCTGTCACTAGAGGGTCAGCTGAGGGGGCTAGAAGTGGAATGAGGACTGGATTTGCTGTGAATCACTTGAAAAAAATTCTGTGGGGTGAACAATAGACCAGGATGTGAAACTACCACGAGATGAAAATCCATGGAGTTGTGGTCCATGGCTGTTAGAGGGAGGCAGTGGGTGTGCTGAGTTCAGGTCCTGGTGTTAACCCTACTAGCTATGTGAATTTGGGTCAGTTATCTCTTCATTTACTCAGCAAAACTTGTTGAACCTGTCTGTGAATGGGGCTTACAGTAGTCCCCATGTGGAGCTGGGGGCGGCCCAGTTCTTGGGGCTGTGTGTGCCACCCTCATGCTGTACTTGGCAGCCCTCAGAAGTGCTGGAGTTGTGGATGGATGGTGAGCCACCCCACAGGCAGACCCAGAATTGAGACAGAGGTAGACTGAGGCCCATCTCAGGATCAGCATGGAGAGTATGACTATAAGAGTTGTCTTTGTGTGGTCATGAGCTTCCTATCTATAGGGGTGCTTAGTAAGAGGATTGGTCCCGTGTGCCAAGTTAATCTGGAATCAAAATTTTGTGACTCAGGAGATTCCCTTCCCACCCGGGTGCTTTGTCTCCAGCTAAAACCAGCTCAGACAACAAGCTCTTTAAGTACTCCCACCCTAGAACTGCCAGTCTTACTAGTGGTTTTTTTTTTGTCCTACTAAAGCAGGGCCTCACTGTGCACAGAATAAGTACAAGAGATAGACAGATCAGTCTCCCATTATTTTAAGCTCAAACTAGGGATTTTGCTTACTAAACAGCAATAACAAGCCCTGCACTATTTGAAAAACAGCTCAGTTCTGATGAGAAACAGTGCTAGGTTGGGTCAGAGGCCCTGGGTTGAGTGCTGGTTCAGCCACGTTCAAGCTGGGTGACCTTGGACAAGCAATGGCCACTCTTTGGGCCTCAGTGTCCTCCTCTATACAGAGTTTGCCTCCTTTGGGACAGACTGTGATGAATCTAAACAGGTGTGAGAGGTGAAGTATGAGACTTGGTTGTATAACTTAGGGACAGGTCTGGGACTCGCTTCTTCCCATGCCATCTGGCTTCCTGATGAGGAGCTTTGAGGGAAATAGAGATGTTAGACGGAGCAGCATCTTCTCAAAAAAATGGTGCTGCCATAGGTGGGAGTGGGTGGGGTATTGGAGCTTTCCCAGCAAAGGCTGGGCCTGAGGCCAGGATGTTCCATTAGGACAGGTGGTGGGGATGGAGCAGCAGGAAGATGAGGCGAGGCATGGCTCTGTTGCTGTGGCAGAGTCTTCGTGGGCTGGATATGCCAGGCCTGAGGAGGAGTTTGGCTCATGGCCTGGCCCCCTTGGGCCACTATATCAGGAGTGGACTGAGTATATGTGGGAAAAGGCCTGCCTCCCTGAGAAGCCAATGAGCTGCCTACAAGCCTGATTTCCCATTGCCTGTGGGATGCGGGCCACAGCCTAATGCTGTCTTTACAGTTCTCAGAATGTGTGGCTTGTTTGGCTGTCTGCTTTGCCATCTCTTTGACCTTGCTGACACTGTGGTCTGGATGCCTTCCCCAGTTCTAAGGCCAGTCCTCTGGGACCTTCTGGCCCCGACCCTTTCCTGTGAAAAGGTAGACCACATCTCCATTCACTCATTGTACTCGGCTTTTCTTCCCAACCAAACCAAGCTCATTTACTGCCTGCTTAGCCCCTGGGTCACTACTGAGAATATAGTAGATGCCCAGTAAATGTGTTAATTGTGCAAGATAATAACATTCAGGAAGGAAAAAATATTATGAGATTACCTTAGTCCCAAGTGACTGTCAGTCCATCGCACACACCATTTTAGGTCTAACACAAGCCCCACATTCCAGAGTATGTCAGTCTGAAGTTTCTGGTCAGCAAATCTTTGCTATACTCTGCAGGGTAATTCCAGTTCCTCTGGGAAAACTGATGTAGGGGAGAGAGCTTCAAGGAGCTGCTAACTAAGATTGACCACTCTGACCTCCTTCCCTCACTGGGCAGACTCTGCCTGCCTACTTCTGGTGTGCAGGACAGTGAGGACAGGAGGGCAAATCAGGGACAGTCCTGAGTCTGCAGAAACTCTTGTCCAGTGGGTGAGACAAGAAGACAGACAGCTGTCACCACCCTGGTCAGCATCACCAGTGCCAGACTGGTGATGCTGAGGGCCACACATTTCTCCTATGCACAATTTGTTGTGTCTCCACAATGACCCCATGAGGTAGGAACTGTTATCTGTGTCTTACAGAGAAGTCTTGGAAATGTTAAGGAGCTTGACCAAGTCATAGCAGGAAAGCAGAAGAGGTGATGAGGGAAAGCTGGAGAAAGTTTAAGTGGGCATAAGTCATGTACAAAAGGGAGGGAGGCAGAGCAAATAGGCCCGTGATTTTGAGGCCCCACTGAAAGCTTGGCACATTGCAAGGGAGAGAGAGTCAGTGGGGAAGTAACAGATGAAGCCTTAGAGGTCAGCAGGAAGCAGGTTGTATAGGGCCTTGTGGGCCATGCCAAGGCACTTGAACTTGGTCATGAGGGTGGTGAGGAACCCTTTGAAGATCATGATGATCACATTTACCTTCCAGAAAGAGCCAGAGTGTTGGCTGGGTGGGAGCTGGCCTAGAGACAGGAAGCCCCACACCCAAGCATTTGCCTTCATCTTCCTGGCCCTTATCCTTCCTCTTGACCTTGGCCTGTGTGTTTCAGAGTGGCATCCCCTGCCAGCACCCTTCACGTTCTGAGCCGTTACAGCCGCTACACAAGCATTCTGGACCTGGACAACAAAACCCTGCACTGCCCCCTTTACAGAGGCACCCTTGTGCCCCGGCTGGCAGACCACCGTACTCAAATCAAGAGGGGCAGCACCTACTACCTGCATGTCCAGAGCATGCTCACCCAGCTCTGCTCCAAGGCTTTCCTCTACACCTTCTGCCATCACCTGCACCTGCCTGCCCACAACAAGGAGATAGAGGAGTTGGTTGCTAGCCGGCAGGCAAGCTTTTTGAAGCTGAATCTGGGTCTAGTGAATGAAGATGTCAAGGTGGTCAAGTACCTGGCTGAGCTGCTGAAACTGTACTATATGCAGGAGTCTCCTGGGATCACCCATCCCATGCTTAGGTTTGACTATGTCCCCAGTTTTTTGCACAAAATCTGAGGTCAGTCCCAGCCACTGTGACCAAGACCTGTGACTTGGCACAGGGAAGGGAAAGGTTGGCATGACCAAGCAGTCCTCTGAGCTTTGTAGATTTATGGTATCATAGGTGGGAAGGAAACCAGTGTGGCAGCTATGGTTCCCAGGTGGCTCCAGGCACCCTGCCAGCTGGACTTGGACAGAGGGAGAGCCTGGCTTTCTCTGAAGGTGTCTGGAAGGACAATAACAGCTCTTGTCTCCTCGTTAAGGAGTGATCCTAGGACTGAGGACTGGTAGCCAGGGCAGAGGGAAGCCTCAGTGGGATGGGATGAGAGGAAGGAAGATGAAGCCCTAATGGGAAGAAAATGGTGGCCACTTTCATCTCTGCTTAACACTTGAGTAGCAAAATCAAGTGAAGCAGCCTGTTTCACTGGAATGATTTGGTGGAAAATAGGATGATAGAACATCCATTGCCTCATTCAGACTGCAGCTGAATGGTCTCCTGGAGTCCATCACGCCAGGAGAGGCCCTGGGATGAATGAGGAGAAGGGAGAGAGCTCTGCCCCAGCTGCGCAGTGGGAAGTGTACACCCTCCAGACCCCAGTGCTGCGGCAGGGGTGAGTAGCACCCCGTCCCCACCCTCACTCCCTTACCTTGGAAACTGTTCCCGCAGGTCAGCAGGAGAGATCATTGTAGTCACTAGTTGTCAGTGAGCACTGCTCTTGGAGGCAGAGAGCCCAGGAGACAGGCAGGGCCAAGGTGCCATGAGGCCATCACCACTGTGCAAGCGATGAAGAAGAGCCAGCAGGTCCACTTTTTTTGGCCAGAGTGAGTTAGCACTGTCTACTTACCCAAAGCAAACCTTTGCAACCACTTCACTACCTCTTGCAGGTCTCACAGGCACAGTGACAGCAGACTCGTGTTCAGCTGGCTGCATGGGCAGGCAGTCCGGGCGGTAATAACTCATGGAGGGGATTTCCTCCAGGAATGAGGAAAACGTTCTTGTGTGGCTGTCCTTATGGATCTGCTTGAAGAGGTCACACAGGCCTGGAGTACGGGCACCACACAGCAGCTCACTCATCACCACAGAGTCCCCCCAAGTATGCTCACCTCACTGCAGCTCATTTCCATCATCATGAGACTCTCCACACCTTCTCAGGAGATGTTCCCATGTATTCCCTACCATGACCTCCCTGAGCTTCTTATACAATGGCCACTGACCTGTAGATTGGAGGGTTTATTGAAACCCAGAAATGTTATGCTTTTTTTTTTTAAGCAGTTTTTTCCTAAGTAGGGAGAACTCTTGATATTACTGCTTTTTAAGTTATCCCCAGAAAGTTGTGATAAAACAGACCTGAGCCAGCAACAAGTGGTACTCCTGAGCACACATGTGCATATCTACTGGGGTCGTGCTCTGTGTGGTTGGGGCCCTGTTGTTGAGACCTGGTCTACCTGTCAGCTTTGTAGCACACCATTAAAGTCACAGAGACCCCTGGTGACTAAGGAGGGTTTGCCTCACATCACTCCTTTGGTCCATTCTCTGCAGAATGATAGGACCTTGTTGACTCCCACCCATCAGCTGCTGGTCAGGGTCCCCAATCCTGTCATGGCAGGGATTTCCTCCAGGAAGGAGGTAAGCCTTGTGTGGCTTTCTTTGTGGACATGGTTTTTGCTTCTATGGCAAATGGTGCTGCTTACATCTCATCGTTTTCCCTTGTACCTCTGTCCATTACATGTTCTCACACAGACGACTCTCCTGGAATGTCTTGGCAGCTTTGAGATGTGAAGTGTGGTGGCTGTGGAGAAGGCTGTGTAGAAAGCCTGTTTCTCTCCGTGAGCCCCTCCCTCGTGTTCAAGATGCTACTTTATTTTCTGTGTGGCTAATTGCTGCCTACTTAGGCCTCCAGGGACATGAGTTTGTGACATTTTATGTCCAAGGGAAGAAAGTTCTGTGGAGCCCCAATGACAAGATGAAAAGTGGTCATTGGCACCACCCTTGCTGTTCCTGTGTTTCACACTGATGTGGACTCTGCAGTTAACACTTCTCACTGGGGAAGCTGATACCAGCAGGTCAGCCAGACCTGGCCTTCTAGAAGTGAAGGCCACATACTGCCATAGATGTCTGCTTTGGAGGGTGTTCACTCAGAAGCTCTGCCTTCAGGATGCTTTTGAAAGCTTGAGAGCTCTTAAGGTGAGACCAGTCTAGTATAAAGAGAACAGACTGTCTGCACGACCAGCCACAGAGAGAGCGCAAACCAAGAGCATCTCGCTGGAGTTGTTTTCTTTCTTTTTTTGAACATACAGATACTTGATAGCTCACCTTTTTCACACAAAGCACACCTGCTGCCATTTTCTTTCAGAGTTGTTTCTTCATGAAGAAGGCAGGTTGACCTCACTGACTAGTGGGTGAATTCCAGGATTTAAATTTTGATTAAAAATCTGACTTTTCACTGTGGCAGTTTCAAAGGATTGCCTGATGCCAAGTATGTTTCTTCTCAAAGTGGCACTTGGACTGAGCCAGTTTGGGCTAAGGCAGCTGAGCCCGTGAAGCTGATCCTCCTCAACCCCCTGCCCCCACTTTGGAGAACTAGGACCTACTAGAAGTCTCAGATGCATCTGTAAATTTTAATGGTGGGGAGCCGTATGTAATGGGCTACTCTCTTCTTCAAGAATTTTCATTTGAGGTTTTCCTCTAGTTACAGATTAGTAAGTGTTAATAAAACATTAAAAAACTTTCCAGAAAGTAAAGGATATCAGTGCCCCTTATTATTTCTTAGTCCTGTGAAGGCCCAGGCACTGAAACTGTGAGGTTTCTTTACTTCCTCCCTTCCTCCCAGGGATTACTGGCCTCCCTTCCTTTTTTAAAGCAGTCCATGTTGAAAGAAGCCAGCTGGGCCGGTAGTTCTGCAGTAATGACTCCAGGGGCTCCACTCCAGAGATCACTTGAAGGCTCTCACAGCGCCTATGGTGCTGAGGCGCCCAGCCCGAGTGGCTGCGTCGCACCTGTCTCCCCAGGGACCTTGCTCCTTTAGTGGAGTCTCCAGACTTTAGAAATTGTAGCTTTTCCATAACTGACTGCAATGGCTAAAGTTAAACACATTGTACCAGAATCTGGAAATGGACCATGATAGCTCACCCATCATTTCCAATCCAGCTTTTAACTTTTTTATTTCAAATTAGTTACTACAAAGTATAATAGACTCCAACCCCAAACAAACAAATGCCATTTCAAATCTGAGGAAGGCCGATAGATTCTACCCTAAGTGCCAGGCCTGTTTTGTTTCAGTGGTGCATCTGTTGGCCAACAGCATTGGAGGATCTCGCATGTTCACTGACCACCCACTTCTGCCAGATAACATGCCCTGCCTCCCTGGGCCTTTTGCTGTTGACATGTTGTCTTTGCACAGGTGGTAGCACTCAACTGGTCGGGGGCCATGGTAGGTGTGGATGGCCTTTGCAGGCACTGACCACCCTCCTCCCTCCCTCCAGCCAGGCCAGCAATTAGATGTTACCCCCCATTTCCCTGGAGAGCACATAAGAATGATTTTAGTTCATGCTTTGAATCAAACCACCCATCTTCCTGGCTTTTCCCTAATAGTGTGATAGTGAAAAAAATGGAATCTTTTAATAATGGTGTTAACAGACTGCAAAAAGGAAAAAGCATCAAGTTGTTACTGGCTAGAAGCAGAAACAGTCTCGGCTGGTAAGGTTGGAGCACACCGAGTTTTCTGGAGCCCTTTCTCTGTTGGGCACTGACCTAATGTGGCCTTATCTATTGAGGTTTAGTTATGCACACGGAGAGGGGGAAGCAGGAGGGATGGAATGAGCACTTTGTAGTGACCTAGGCTGCTGATCAGATGCCCCAGGCCCTGGCTCCCTGAGAATGAGTGTTCGGCTCCAACATGGAGGCTACACAGGGTCTTAGAAATGTCCTTTTGTCTTCATCGGGGGAAGAGTCAAACCCTTGAAGATAGGCCTTTTTTTTGCAGCATAATAGCTCCCAAATTGAGGCATAGATGTGGGCACTGGTGCGTCACCCACACCCAGAGAGACTGTAGCAGCTGTCCCCACTGGGTTGGGGTAAATGCCAACATACAGGACCCTAGGCCACAGGTGCCTTCCAGGCAGACCACGGGGCTCCTCGCCCACCGACTGCCCAATGCTGGCTGGCTACGCAAGTCGGGCTGAGAGAAATGCCACCTTTAAGGTTGCAGTGAAAAGCATAGTCTGTGAGGAAATCTTGTTATTTTTTTAAAGTATTTTATTATCGCATGTTTGTCCATATTTGTGAATATGAACCTGAGCTCACCACATGAGCTGCGGTTGTCACAGTGGCGAGGGTGAGAGTATGACAGGCGTGTGTGACAGCAGCTCGTAGATATGACTGCACCAGAATAAATGCCAAACAAATAGTATGAGAAGTGTACTTTTTAAGAAATTAATTTATTTGAGTTATTTTTGAAATATAAAAATTGGTTGTATTTTTTAAAGCTATAATTGTAGACATTCTGTGGTTAAAAAATCTGTGCTTATTAAAAATGGTCATTTATGTTTTGCACTTCAGCTTTATGAAAAATAAAATTTCTTTGGGAAGGTGACATTTGGCTTCCTGATTACAGAAGGGATTTCTCTCAACAGGGCAGGAGAGCCTGTGGCTGATTCTGAGAGCAAGTGAGGATCAGGTGCCCCAGGCCCTCCAGCCTGTCCAGTGGGGATGGTGAAGACCACTTCTGCAGCGTACTGAGTTGCTAATAGAGAAATCCACATAGTGGGTGGCACCTTGTATAGACGTGTCTAACTTAGGATTCCGATTGAAAGCACCTAGCAGAAGCTTAAGGAGAATTTCTCTCTTTAGTTGTAAGGTCTTAAGTCAGTTTTCTGGTGACCCACTGGGTAACAAAATATGAGCAGCTTTTACAAGCTATGAACTTGTGTTTCTTATTCATTGAGTCAGAGGAAACCCAGTAACTCTACAAGAAGGATGAGTAAAATTACTGAAATCTTCCCAATAGCTCTGCCCTACCCCACTCTTTAAATTAATTAAGGCTAAATAATATTTCATTTTTCCAGAATGATTATACATATAGTAGTGAGGTTCAGATTTAAACTTAATAATTTGTCCCAGACTTACTAACAATGAGGCTTAAACAGATTTTGATTTGTAAAGATAACATGAGAAAAGTCCAAAAAAAAAACCCTCAGCAAAGGGAAGTTGACCAGGTCCTTTGTGGGCGGTGCTTCTCTCCTGGGAAGGGCACTGTGTCCCTGGGTAAGCACCTTGGGCTGTCCTGGTGGCTCCTCTAAGCGTCAAGCAGACCAGGCAGAGGGAAAAGAGAGGCAAAGCTCTCCACCTCCTCCCTGAGAGCTCTGATGCCCCTAAGGTGCTTCTCATCCCCTGCCAGTTTCTCCTTGAACTCCTTCAGGGTGGCCTTGACACCAACATCATTTTGAATCTGCAGAGTCAATTCTATCCCTGTGTGACAGAGACAAATGAGTCCTCTGGGGCTATGAGACACCCAAGACCCAAATACCCCACCTGGGGCGGGACAGCTGTAGGTATTAACATTGATCCCAGAAACAATTCTTATATGAGCCCTTCCTTGGGCAGGACAAGTTCATAAATGCCTCAGACCAGATGATTTGCTAAGCAGTTTCTGCTGTCTCCTGTCCCCAGCACTCAGCCTTGACACAGAAATGTCCCTCAGTGGCTGGGTCTCAACTGTCCAAAGATTCCATACATACAATATGATGCAGCAAACTTCCAAACCCACATCCTTACCTTTATGAATGAAGAGGGCTACTTTTTGGAACTCTTTTTCCAGAAGTCCTCGGGACGTCAGTGCTGGGGTCCCCAGTCGCAGCCCACTGGGCCGCAGTGCACTTTTGTCACCTTCAACATAAATAGGCTCTGTGCAGTGTTTGGGTCACACCCAAACTCACCACTGACCACTGTGCACTATAAAGGGGCACTTGTGCAAAGTGAACAGGCCTGCAGATGGCAGTTGGATTGAAGAGCACAAGTGATTTTCATGCTGGAGGTGGAAGCCAAGGCACAGGCAGGGAGCACATTTTGACTGTGATGTGGCCTCTGCTCCGACGAGTGAGGCCAGCGTCTGTCTGGGTTTGGATTGCAACAGCCACACCTTAGGAACAACCCATGGAGAATCCGGCCTGTTTTCCAGGGGCCCCGCCTCCCTCATCCAGAGCCTTCACCCGCAGTCCCCTGTCCCCGGCAGGGTTACAGCCTGTTAGGAAGAGTGGTCCAGGAGAGAGCCACAACTTCATTCCTGTCTGGCATGGTGTACTTATACCCCAATCAGCCGATGCTTGTCCACAAAGCAGTTATCATCAGCTGTACCTCTGCCCTTAATTGCAGGCAGGAGTGGTGTGGAAGAGAAAACCAAGGGGTATTCTTACCTGGGCAGGTGTTCTTGTTGCAGGCAATAGAACAGGCTTCTAGCACCTTCTCAGCCCTGCCACCATCCGTGCCTTTGGAACGGAGATCCACAAGGATCAAGTGGTTGTCAGAACCACCTGGAAACCAAGTTAGACGAGTAGGAAAGCAGACAGTCAATTCCATGCCAAGTGAAGGAATGTCTCTCTTCTTCAGAAATGAGGGATGGGAAGGAAAAAGCTAAAGCAGATGGGGTCAGGAAGGTGAGTGCCCCACCACGTGTCCTGGAAGGCTTTAATCACCTGTGAAGAAAAGATGCTGTAGGACTTGAGAGTTTGACAGATGACAGAGCAGAGTAAAAAAGGGTGGCTGCTGATGAGAGGCAGGCTGTAAGGCTGAGGGGAGAATGACCACACTGCTCACTGCAATGACCCAGCACACTGGGTGCCAGCAAAGGGCCTGAAAGCTTGTCTGGGGAGAGACAGCTTGCTCAGTGAGATCCATGGCTTCTGTTTTCTTTGACAGATCACTTGGGAAGCTCCCACACATCTCTGAAATCAATCGTCAGGAGTCCCTCTGAGGCTGCTTAAGAGTAGCAGGAAGTAGTTCCATTTATAGTAACAGTGGGTAACCACTACCTTCACTGAGCACATATTAGGTGCCAGGCACTACTAGCCTGTCATATATTTTATCCCTAATGCTGTGAAGGTTATACTATCAAAGTGGTACAGGTGATAATATGACACTACAAGAATATTCTGGAACTGGCCCAAGGTCACCCAGGAGTCTTTCAAGTACCTAGATCTTTGCAAGTCATTGATGAGCAACAGCAATGACTTCCAAGATGTATGAGAGCTGAGTTAATGCTTAGCTCTGGACCCACAGCTCAGAGCTTAAGTCACAGTCCCTACAGCCTCCCACTACTAGCCATGTGGCTTTAGTCAGGCAGCTTGACACTGTGGACGCTCAGGTGCCCATTTGTAAAACATGACCAACAATATACAAGGCTGTCATGAGGTGTAAGTAAGGTGCTGTACATAGTGCTTGGCCAGTGCTGGGCATGAGGCCGGTATTCAGAAATGCTGGCAGCAGTCATATTCACCACAATCTGCTTCAGCTGCCTGCATCGAGTCTTCAGAGAAGAGTAAACAAGGCAGGATCACAGGCCCAGGAGCTCAGGAAGGGGGAGACTCCATGGGAGGCTCCAAGCAGCAGGGCTGCCAGAGTTGCCTATAGCCAGAGAAAGTGTGGCCTAAATCCTTGTGATGACTGAGATTCCTGGGGCTTTGTTACTGGAATACGTGGAGAATAAAGGAGAAAGCACAGAAAGGAAGTGAAGCAAAACAGTGAAGAGGAAATACCCAGGACTGCTGAGAAGATGCTGTTTGCCCCAGCTTTGCTGCTCACAAGACTTGGTGAGGAGCCCACTCCTCAGACCGGGGGCTGTAACCCCCACAGAGGGCAGTAGGCAGAGAGTAGGCACCTGCTCTACAGGGGACCAGGACCCACCTTCCTGGACCACGTACTGCTGGCATACATGGCAGCCGTGTGAGCAAAGGTAACAGAGTACACTGTCTGCCAGAAAAACTGTGCCATCCTAATTGTATAAGTGCACAGTGACCAAGGTGGACGGCACCTCTGAGCAAGGCCTTCACCAGGAAAGTCCATCTCACTCAGCACCTGCTTCTCTAGACGTGGTCCTGACTCATACCCCACCTGCAGCCGCGGTGCCATGGCCACCAGCCTGCAGACACACACTGACTGGGTGAGCCACGGTGTGAGGCTGTGTGTAACCACAGGGGGTAGGGTCACCCCCAAGTTTCTGTTCATACCTGTTACTACTTTGTATCCCAGCTCCATCAGCGTATCAGCCAGAACCCTGCAGTTGGCCACCACCTGGCGCTGATAAAGTCTGAATTCTGGAGTCAGGGCTTGCTTCAGAGCCACAGCGACCCCTGGCAAGAAGAGACAATGAGTTAAGTAGGAAGGGCGGGATTAAAAGAAGGACAAAAAACACGTTTCCACCCAGGCTTCCTTGCTTTTCAGTGTCATGAAAGGGCATGGATTACATCCATCCCTCCCCCCAACAACAATGACATATGTATATATGTTTTTTAAAGATTTTAATTATTTACTTCTTAGGAAGAGGGGAAGGGAGGGAGAGAGGGAGGAAAACATCAATGTGTGAGAGAAACATCGATCTGTTACCTCTCACATATCCCCAACTGGGGCCCTGGCCCGCAACCCAGACATGTGCCTTGCCTGGGAATCAAACCCGTGACCTTTCTGTTCGCAGGCCAGCGCTCAATCCACTGAGCCACATCAGCCAGGGCACTGACATATTTCTAACCCTACAGTTACCTGGCTAAACCTCCAGACCTCTTCTTTTGGAGGAGGTGCTTTTGAGGTAGCCTTTCTTCCAGGCACAGAAGTTTTGTGCTAATAAAATGATCACAGCAAAGTTGTCCTTAAGCAAGATAGATTTTAGAGTCATTTTAAAGCTTGATATGTGAAAACGATTGCTTAGCTGCCCTGAAAGCTGATGCTTCGATGCCAAGTTATGCAGATCTTTCAGATCAGAGTCCAGGTGAGAGGTGAGGCCTGTTCTACCCTGCACATCCAGACTGCTCTGGCACCCAGTGTTCAATCCTGAGGGCTGCCTATGGGGCACAGAAAATGGAGTTGAATGCAAAATGCATGTGCCCAAGACTGGCCATAGAGGCCTCCAATCAGTGTATGTAGAAATGAGTGAAAAAGGCTCAGAGCAGCCAGAGGCTGGGTAATGCCACCATCTGAGGGTTGAAGGAACTGCAGGTGCTGAGCTTGAAGGCATAAAAGAAATTGAATATAAAAGAAAACACCCTGGTGGATGCCCTGCCCTATGCTCTGGTGCCTAAGTTCCTCATTCACTGTGCCCTTCTCTCCCCTCTTTGGAAACACTAGTGCCTCTCTTGATGGAGAAATTATACCTTTGTCCTGAGCTCTTCTAGCAATTGCTTTGTTCCAAAGAAGACAATGGAATAACTCCTGAGATCATCACAATTTCCTAAGCCACTTGTAGAGAGGAGGAATCAGTCAATGACCACCTGCTGGGGGGTCGTAGAGTCAGACAGATCCAGGGGCTGCAGGTGCAGACCCGCAGTCCAGGATGCTAGGGTCAGACACAGGTGCCTCTTCCCCGCTGAAGGACAGGATGTCAGGGGAGAGGCACTTTGTCTTTGATCATCACACTCCCCTGCTATGCCCTCTTCCAGCTGTCAGATTCCTTCCCTGTTATTTCTTAAAGTGGGCTATCCGCAAAATGTGCCTGCCCCTCAGTTTTGCCCAGGGGTAACCACCCATGTCCCTACCTTATACCAGTCACCAGTTCCCCTTGTCTCCCATGTTAGATCTCATAGACAGAGATATTCCTCTAGTTTATCCCCAGCGTGGAAGTCCTGGCACAAACTTTGGTGGGGAGATGAAATTGGAGTGAGGGGCCACAAGATGAACAAAAGCAGGAGAATCCACAGACTGACTGAAAGGGGCCCACCAGGGGGAGGTACACTGTCCGAGGGTTTGGGATGGGTTTGGTGATGTTTTACCAGCAATGGCATGGTTGTGGGGGCCTCCCTGCAGTCCTGGGAACACAGCAGAATTGATGAGCGACTCCAGGTTGTACAGGATCTCTTTGCCAGTTTTGGAATCCACGCTGCACACTCCTGGGTGAAGAAAAACATCAGAATGGGCACAACAGATAGGCTGTCACCTCTGTTTTCTCCCTGCCTGGACTCAAACTCAGGCTGGCTAGTGGGGCACTCAGCACAAGCCTGGCCTCTACTGCTGGAGGTGGGCCCTGGTGTGAAATGCTGTCAGGCAGAGGTGGGGAGCACTTCCAAAAGCAAGCACACTTCCAAGCATGGGCAGACCACCCTTTCACAGATGAAATGAAAAGGTGAAAATCTCCCTCCAAAGAGATTGTAACAAAGAGCACTCCTTGTGCACATTTCCTCAAAGGAGTGTCAAAGAGCAGCTTTCTAAGATGACTGCTTTGAGGGAGACAAGACCCATGTGGCTAGATAAGGGGGATAAGTGAGGTTCCTTTTGGAGTAAAAGTTAATAATCAGCAATAGCAACTACTAATGTTACTATAGAGCTTCTTGAGAGCCAGAACTGCTCTAAGCACTTTACCTAAATTAATTCATTGAATCCTCACAAGAGTGGTCTAAAGAAACTGGTACTATTATGATCCCTACTCTAGAGTGAGGAGACGAGGCACAAAGAGGGTGCACAACCAGCCCAAGACCACAGTGAAAGTGGGGCACAGCCAAGATCTGTGCTGGCTGGCTGAGTCAAACAAGCCAGGGCACCCAGGGAGAAAAACAGCATCTCCCATGCGAGAGCCTCCACCGCTGTTGGCCAACAGATGTAATTACGGGCTGCAGAACCCGCAGCCCAACTGAAGGCCCTCAGAGGAGTTTAGGGGCTTCCAGTGGACACATGCGTGTGTCTAGGGGCTTAGAGCCCCTGATTCGGGGGTAAAGAGAAGTCTAGTCTCCAGGGGGCTGCTTTCTCTGCTGCCAGGCTCATGCACTAAGACCCACCACAGGCTGAATGAGGCCTGACCACTGCTCTGGATTTCTCAGGTACAGGAACCCCAAAATAGTGGGAGCACCTACATCCCTGTGGTCTGTAAGTGTTCCATTACTGGAAAGAGAAACTCCTTACTAAGATGATACAACTGGCACTATGATTTATACATCAATGCCTTATGGTTTGATTAGTGCGAGTCTTTAAGAGAAACATGGTGGACTACAGCCAATTCACAAAATCATGCTCTACTGCAAGGCCTTCTGGTAGCCTGCCCAGGCGTGCACATCCTTCCTTCCACCCCAACAGCTGCCTCACAAGGAGGATTAGCTGAGCCAAAGAACGCTGGCACCCAGCACAACAGCCTTGCTCCTCTCCCAGGACCCAGAGTAGCTCTCTCAGGGATCCTAGTATCTTCAAGGGACCCCAGGTGAGCACTTCCCACAGCTTCCTAAATTAAATGTGAACACCTAGCCAACGCCAGCACACCACACCCAAGAGCACACCTCGCCTGTAGAAGATCATGCCAGCTCGGCAGCCTCTCAGTGTCTTGTGGGTGGTGGTGGACACCACATGGCAGTGGTCAAAAGGGGAGGGCACCACGCCAGCTGCCACCAGCCCGCTGATGTGTGCCATGTCAGCCATGAGATATGCCCCATTGTCATCAGCGATCTTCCGCAATCGAGCATAGTCCAGGTTTCGGGAGTAGCAGCTGGTTCCTAAGATGGCAAAGGTGTCACTGTTACCAGAGATACCCACGGCCAACTGAGGGTCGGCTGCAAGGTGACCTCTGGACATATTTATGTATATTTGAAAGCTTAGAGATTTCTCCATCTAAAATCTGAGAAAGGAAATGAAGAATATTCTTGAAAAACATCTTTGTGCCAAAGGCAACTGCTCTGATCTCTGTCTCTTCAATGTCATGGTAGTCAGGATGGCCCCAACTATTACTACCATCCCCAATCAGTCAAGAATGAGCATTTCTAGATGCTTCTCTGAGGAGAGCCTCACATCTTATTCCACCTAGTACTAATGTTGACAAGACACACCCGTCCTGAAAGAAGAGCATTTACTTAGATCCAAGAAGCTCAGCTCTCCAAGGCAGAAACTAGCAGTGAGCAAGGATAGGGTGGGGAATACCATCATATCTTGGCTTTGTAAGAGGCCCGGGACTGGGACTAAGGCAGCTGTTTTCTGCCCCCTTCGTCACCTGCAATAATCAGCTTCGGGTGGAAGAGGCGGGCGTTCTCCTCCAGCTGGTCATAGTTGATGTAGCCAGTGTCTGGGTTCACCTGTGGAATGCCATGGACACCGAGCTCAGGCTGCCCTCTCCAGCCTGCCTGGTGTCCCACCTGAACTCACACCAGCCATCAAGGACAAGATGACTTCTTCCACGTGCCCAAAGTTGTTTGCTCCTCTCCACCACGAAAACAGGAAAGATGTCTGTCCCAGGCCAGGATTTGGGGGTGAGGTGTGATACCAGAGTATTTGGCCTGCACCAGTGGCACAGACAAGCAAGTATCACTCTTGGACCCACGATGCCCTAAGGAGTCCCAGGGGGAAGAGTGAGCCCCTGCCCCAGGGCTCTTCTGGGATGAGAAAGAACGAAAAAGCCACTGCAGAGTGACACGGGAGTGGCAGACAAGCAAAGACACAGTCACCTTCAGGAATGAGACAAAGTGCCTGCCAACGGCACTTTCCGTCCAAGTAAAATGAGGCCAGAAAAAGGAATGAAGGCGTTAGGATTAGAAGACCAAAAAGCTGACTTTACTCAGACGCCACGATTATGGACTCGGAAAAATCGGACTCTGGAGGCAAGCTATTAGAATTAGTAGCTGAATTTAGCAAGGTCACTGGATATAGGATCAAAAACCAAAAATCAATTATATCCGTATATATAAGCAGCAAAAAATAGCAAATGAAGTTTTAATAATTATATCATTACAGAGTTTCAAAAGCCATAAATCTAACAAAAGATGTACAAAACCTCTACATAAAACCTTACTGAGAGAAATTTAAAAACACGTTAAAAATGTTACAGTAATGACAGCCTGGGTGTGCTTGTGAAAGGACTGGCGACGAGTGCCAGGAAGAGAGAGCCCCCGCGCCAGGCCGCAGTGGGCCCTGTAGGGCCTTCCCACAGAAGGCGCGAGGTCAGCTGGACACCCACCGTGAACACGATGGTGCCTGTACCCCTACTTCAGCCACATACAGAAACCAGTTGCAGATGGACTGCGGATCCATCTACATGTGAAAGATAAAAACACTTCCTTTTTTTGGTAACACATTTCTTAGTAAGTTCAGTTTATTAAGGTTATGTTAAAGCATTTATATTCAGGGAAAGTACAAGTAATTGCAGGGGGTTTCTGTAGGAAAGACGCAGGGATGTGGGGCATGGGAGGAGGTGGTGAGAAACTTCCCGTGCAGAAGCCCTGCACGGAATAACCCCCATGGAGGTAAGGATTTGGGCGGAGGTGGCGACCCTTTCCAAATTAACAAAGGGCTTTCAGTTCAACACAGTGGCAGACACCTGTGTGCAAGGTTACGGGAACCAAGAAGTCAGGCGGAAAAGCAGGCTGAGAGGTGATTTGTAGTTTTTGTTTTGTGGTTTAAGGGTGTAGCTGATTCTTTCTCAGTCACCAGAACTCAACAAAAACTGTTACCTTGATGAAAAATTAATGGCTGATCCACAATAAAAAAATGGACATCATTCTATGAAATTTGTTAAACACATAATTACCCCAAAGTCTGTTGCTACTCTCTCTCCACATTTTGTTTTGAAACTTGTGGGATTTTCTTTAAGGTTGTTTGTTTTTTTAATCTTGAAAATTTGACAATAAAACGGCTCTTGGAAGAATTCACAGGCATTTTTAACAAACTGTCCTGGGACCAGTGGTGCAGACATCTCAGACAGGAAGGAAGGAGGAGGGCATGGAACAGAAGGTACATGTTCCCCCACAGGGAGGTGGGATGCCTGGCCTTACGCTGGGCAGCTGCCCAGAGGGTGAAAGAAGACCCACTGCTGGCAGAGGCGTGACGGGTGGGTCAGCGGAGGAGCCTCATGGGCAGAGGAGGCTGTGGGAGGCTCAGTGGGTTTGTGTCCTGCTGCCTGACCACCAAGGCTGGTAACCACAGAAGGTCCCTCTAGCTGGTGAGGCGGCCGAGCTGGCCAGGGTCCCCGTCCTAGCCACTCCGTAACCCCGCAGGCCCACCACTGGGTGGGGCCTCCCCACTGCGTTCACGGGGGTTGGGGGGGGCAGGCTGCAGCCTGTGTAGTGCCTATCAAAGACAGGGGTGGCTGTGGGGAAACGGGTGCAGCTAATGCCAGGAAGACGCTTGGGTAACAGCAGTCACCAGCCCGAAAGTGTAAGGCCCCCAGAAGCCTTGTCTAAGGATGGCAAGCAAGTCACTGATTGCCCTGCCACCATTCTTTTCATTGTAAAAGAAATGGTAGGAATTGGCTTTTGTGGTCTAAGTGCAAAGACAGAGCATTGTGTTACTACTGTCATGTTTCAAAATCCATCTTCAAGGTCAGTGTTGGCCAATGCGATACCTGTCACCAGAAACTCCAAGGCTTTCCATGAAGAGAAAAGAACTGTTACTTGTGCACAAAAAGCTTATCCACAAATACTAGAACTGAGACAAAGGCTAATAATAAAAACAGCAAGCAATCAAGGACATGCAACAATGACCTCAGAATACCAAGAGAGAGCAATGGCTTGATTTTCTTAAAAGGATAAAATCATGTCTGACACCTTTGCTCATGGTGGGACACATGAAAGTAACCATGAACAGCCCATCATGAGAAGATAGTTTCTGGACATGAAAAAGAATCATCCTGTACATAGAGTGTACCATAAACAAACCTGCAAGTTACCTCTTTTCTACCCATCTCTAATTATCTTTATAGGTAAGTCACTAGGCCCTTCATGAGCCCATGAATCTTACATGCATTGTTTTGACCAAATTGTTTATAGATGAGCAGGGCCCCCACACAGGCATGCGCCAGCCCCATGTGAGCGCACAGCCTGGCTGACTGGGCTAAGAAGAGCAGACTAGGTGCTGACGGTGGGCTGCTGGTTCCAGAGCTGGAGCTAGGGACGCAACTGCTGTCACTAGGGGTCCAGGCCTGGTGCCCCTGGCTGCTGGAACTGTCGTCCCAGCTGTCACTGAGCCCTAGTTCTGGAGCAGTCAGTACCCCTGCTGTGGCTGGAACTTCCTGTGCATCTGCCTCTCCAGCCTGGCTCTCTGTGCCTCAGCTCAGCCCTTTTTGTCCCTCCCAACGGTCCCCAGCTTGCCCTGTATGTCCAAGGAGTCCCCATGGTAGGAAAATGACAAATAGTGAAAGGTGGAGACTCCTATAGTGCCAGGTGAATAAAACGTATTCTTACCGGGCAGCCAGACATGAGCATGGAGGCTTTCTGAGCAGACAGACTACAGAGCTATGCAGAGGGACACTTTTACCTTGTAGGGCATAGATTCAAAAAAGATGGACGTAGCAGAGATCTTCTTCTTATCTGTCATGAACCCGTGGGTCAGGTGGCCTCCATCGGGCAGGTCCAGGCCCATGATGCGTCCGTGGGGCCCCACCAGGGCGGTGTACACTGCGAGGTTGGCAGGGGACCCTGGGCCGGGCAGACCAGAAGAGGCACCATTGCTCCTGCCCACGAGGCAGCCAGCAGGACCCCAAGCTCGGTCACTAGGCCACCAACCAGAAGTGGCCAGAACAGACGTCCACCATGACGTAACAGAGTGACATCCTCTCTGACTCTGGTTCCAGTCCCTGTCATTTCCACAGTTCTCAGGCTTTTTGTGCCTCAGCTAGCTTCAGACATGATAATCATGAGAGGAAATTGCTTAGGGCTAGAGTTTTACAAAAACAGCCCTTCCCACTTTCCCTTCCCTTCACAAAAAAGAACCTGATCTGAGGATTAGGTGTCCCATCTCATCTTGGCACCTTGTGGATCAATAGATCTTTTCTCCAAACCCTTGAGCTTTGGCCTTTCAAAGGGTGGGGCGCTTAGACTTTGGACTGGTAACAATCACACCTTCCTTGCACCCTCTATACCAACCCCCTTGAGAGGAAGGAAAGGGGGATGGTCACGGACAGGGCACTATCTCTGAGGGCTGAGAAGAACCAGGGGACAAGTACATGGAGAAAACCATACACACACACACACACACACACACACACACAGGATGGGCTTCACTTATTTGTAACTTCTGTTTATGGGCAGTCCTCCTAGGACTCCTCTCCAGGCACATCAGCCCCTGGCCTAATAAGACCTAGTAATTACCTGAGTAGGGCTGGACATTCACTCCCCAGCACTGGGGGTCCAGACCATAGACCTGCAGTGCTCGCTTCTGACAGAGGATCTCCAGCTCATCGATAAACTCAGTGCCACCATAATACCTGTGTAAGAGAAGCAGGGCGGTTAGGATCACCGTGGCATGGGGCAGAGAGGTCAGCACAGCCAGGGTGGGACAGAAGAGCAAAAGGGGAGAGGCTCAGTGGAAGACTCCACATGACTCATCTTCCATCAGTGCCAAATGCTGTGACTCTGAACGAGCAGCTCCTCATCTATAAGGAAATTCCGACAGAGCTACATGGGTGAAATGCGCATTCGCATTATGCAAACTGAATAAGCCAGTGGGGACTGTATGAGCTCCCTTACATAAAGTACCAAGAGTAGTCACATTTATAGAGACAGAGTGTGGAATGGTGGTTGGTTGACCAGGGGTTGGATGGGAGGATGGGTGGAGACAGTTTTGGGGTTTTTTTTGCATTGCTAATAAAATTTTACTTTTCATTTAATAATTACATATCAGAACTTATCATACATTTATGGCTTTTATCTGTATACATCCTAATAATCATAATTTAATCCAAAAGAAAATTTTTAACACATGCCTTATGGTCACAAAACACTTTTAAAATTTTTAAATTAAATGTAGATACATTTTTTATTATTGTAAAAAACCAGAAAATTTACCAACTCAACTAATTTTTTAAAAGATTTTATTTATTTATTTTTAAACAGAGGGGGAGAGAAAAAGAGGGAAACATCAATGTGTGGTTGCCTCTCATGCACCCCCTACTGGGGACCTGGCCAGCAACCCAGGCACGTGTCCTCACTGGGAATCAAATCTGCGACCCTTTGGTTCACAGGCTGGCACTCAATCCACTGAGCCACACCAGCCAGGGCTGAAATAATTTTTTAAAAAATTATTTTTTCATTGCTTTTAGAGAAAGAAGAAGGGAGGGGAGAAAACAGCGATGTGAGAGAAACATCAATTGGTTGCCTTCCAGGCACGGATTGTATTCACCTGGAGCAGGAATGGGACCTGAAACCTAGGTATGTGTCCTGACTGGGAATCGAACCCACAACCTTTCAGTTACAGGACTATGCTAACTGAGACACACCTGCAAGGGCTCCATCTTAACCCTTTTCAAGCACACAGTTTAGTAAGCAGTGTTAAGTGCCTCACATTGATAAGTACATTCATGTTGTACAACAGATAGAACTTTTTCTTTTTCTTTTTCAAATTTTAATAATATACTTTATTGATTATGCCATTACAGTTGTTCCCTTCCCCTCCTTCATTCCCCGCCACCCTGCACACACCTCCGCCCACATTCCCCCCTTTAGTTCATGTCCATGGGTCATAAGTTCTTCAGCTTCTACATTTCCCACACTACTCTTGCCCTCCCCCTGTCCATTTTCTCCCCACTGCCTATGCTACTTATTCTCTGTACCTTTTCCCGCTCTCTCCTTCTCCCACTCCCCTGTTGCTAACCTCCATGTGATCTCCATTTCTGTGGTTCCGCCAGATAGAACTTTTTCCTTCTGTAAAACTGAAACTCTACGCCCACTGAATGACAATGCCCACTTCCCTCTCCCCCAGGCCCTAGTGACCACCACTCTACTTTCCATCTCTATGATTCTGACTACTCTAAGTACTGCATATAAGTGGGCTCATGCAGTATTTGTCTTTTTGTGACTCGTTTATTTTGTTTACCATAGTGTCCTTAAGATTTACCCTAGTAGCATGTGATAGGATGTTCTTCTTTTTTAAGGCTGAAGGACATCCTATTGTATGGATATACTACATTTGCTTGTTCATTTATCCATCAGTGGACCCCTAGGTTGCTCCCATCCATTGGCTCTAGTGAATAATGCTGCTGTACACATGGGTGTGAAAACACGTTTGAGGTCCTGCCTCCAATTCTATTCAGTATATACCTAGAAGTGTAATTGCTAGGTTATATGTAATTTATATGTTTAATTTTTTAGGGACTTCCATATTGTTTTCCACAGTGGCTTGCACATTTTACATTTCTACCAACATGCACAAGGGTTACAATTCCTCTCTGTTCTCACCAACACTTGTTTTGTTTTTGATAGTAGCCATCCTAATGGCTGTGAGGTGGTATCTCATTGTGCTTTTGATCTGCATTTCTCTAATGCTAGTGACATCAAGCACCTTTTTGTGTGCTTGTTAGTGGGAGTTACTGTTTAATGGGCACTGAGCTTTGTTCATGCAAAACAAAAAAGTTCTGGAGATGGATGGTGGTGATGGTGGCACCATACTGTGAATGTACTTAATGCTACTGAACTGGGCATTTAAAGGGGGCAAATTTTCTACTATGCCTATTTTACCACAATAAGGAAGAAGGGGGAATGAAAGGATTTTACTCACAATGAGGCTCATTAATAAGAAGCTAGGAAAATTCCTTAGCAACTGGAATGGGGAAACTGAGACAGACAGCTGAACAAACTGGCTGAGCAATGTACAGCCAGATACAGAAGGTCACCAGGACACTGGGTGCCTAGCAATGGGCAAAACTGCTGCCAGACCCCTCCCCAGGGTGGCCTTTCCTTCCCTGGCATATAGCTGGTCATGTGGTTTAGGCCCCCTGCCCTGATGCCAACCAATCTGTGGAGACCACGACCCTAAAAGGATACACCTGGAAAAGCTGATGAATACTGTATTGAGATCTTTCCCTAAGACCTCCCCCAGAGTCACCTCTGTAACATAAACTCAGGTATGCTTACCATGTAATTGCTAGGTTATATGTAAATTATATGTTTAATTTTTTAGGGACTTCCATGAATAAACAAAGACATTCTCATCACCAATGATTCCAAGAGTTTTAGGAGCTCAAGCACCAGAAACCAAGCACAAAAATCAGGTAGTTTTGATCATACCACACTTTGAAAACACCTGGATTCAAGTCCCAGCTCTGCTCCCTGTGTGTAAACTTGACAGGTCACTGACTTTGAGTGAGTCTCAGCTTTCCCATCTTTAACATGGGGAACACAGCACTACTTTCTCTACTGCACTGCCAGGAGGATCAAATGAGATATTAATTGTGAAAATACCCAGTGAACCCTTCAAGGCACAATGCAAAAGTTAGTTATTCACAGCATGAGAAAGATAAGCAGTCAAAAAGTTGATCTGATTTTGGGCCCTTCTACAGAGAGCTTCAGGGCATCTCAGGATAGAATGCCAGTTCAGCTCCAAGGGGGCCGCTCCTTGCTGTGTCCTTTGGGACACAGATGTACACATTTGCAAAACACATGCATCAGATTCTGTAATTATCACTTTTGCCTGATGACAACTGTAAAAAAAAAAAAGAATATATTGTCTCATGGTTCTTGGGGTGAAGGAGTGGACTGCAATCGCTGCATATGGAAACCAGTACCACAGGTTCTGGAAACAGTTTCCACTTCTGAGCCGCTCCTGAAATAGATCCTGAGACGGCAACAACCGCCCTCACGCTGAGTACTTACTGACCGTCTTCCAGAGGCTGGATGACCGTTCAGCAGCTCTATGGACTGGCCTGTTAATCTAGAAAGCCCCAGAGTGACTGTTAAGGTGACCCTGAGTCCAGCTGCTCTTAAAACACCAGTGCTATCACATGCTGGGCACTAGAAAAAAGTTATGTCAGAGAGCAGGAGGGGACAGGAGTCCTTGAGTGGTTTGGATTCTATACTGATTCCGGATGTCACCTCACTAAGAACAGGCCTTTGATAACATTCACATACCTCTGGCCTGGGTACCCCTCAGAGTACTTGTTATTTAGGCAAGAGCCCAAGGCCTCCAAGACTGCTCTGCTGGCGAAATTCTCTGAGGCGATAAGCTCTAATCCAACCCTCTGCCGTTTGCTTTCCTTCTTAATGATGTTGTAAACCTGATGAGAAAAAAACAATAGTATGGGAAATGTAGAAGCCAAAGAACTTATAAGTATGACACATGGACATGAACTAAAGGGGGGGAATGTGGGTGGGAGGGGTGTTCAGGGTGGAGGGGAATGAAGGGGGGGAAAATGGGACAGCTGTAATAGCATAATCAATAAAATAAAGAAAAAAAGGAAAAAACAGATGCTAAACATCTGGATCTTGGAATCCAGCATCTTGCTCTGATCAAAGCCATAACCTAGTGAAGAGAAGAACCACTGTTAGAGATCCATGTTTTGTGCTCAGAAGCTGACCATGACCCAAATAACCAAAACTCAGATATACTTAAAATAAGTGTCTTACCTAATTTTAATTGTATTCCATCTTGTTATCTTTAGTTCTACATTTCACCATGTTTTTCCTCCCCAAACCTTATTCCTCACTTCTCTTCAAAATAAAGACAGAAAGGAGACCAGTGGTCACCTACAGTTTGGGAGCCTGGTCAGGTAACTGCTAACGGGTTCAAGGTTTCTTTGTAGAAGGGCAAAAGTGTCCTGAAATTGACTGTGAAAACACTAAAAACCACTGAACTGTGCATTTTAAATAGATAATTTGTATGGTAATTGAATGATAGCTCATGTATGAAGCTGCTGTAAAAATACATTATAAAAGTTGCTTCTTGGTGTCTAAATGTACTCTCTGAACTGTATCAAAGGGTCCAACTTCAGTGACCCCTCTCTGCAGCCCCCACAGCCAGCACAGCGCTCTGTACTTTATAAACTGGAGAGCATTTAAATTTGCCCAGAAAGGGCCTCTAGCACTTTGTCAGCTGCTGCCTTAAATCTGGCATTCCTGTACTAATTGCAAGGCTATTCTGAATAAAGTATTTTTAGTAACATCCATGAAGACCCCATACACCTCACCTCTATGTCGTTGTCTTTCAGCGGCTGTGCCAGCATTTTATCATGCGAGCGCCACAGGTCAGCATCCTTGGGAGCCCTGTTGACCTCAGTTGCCATTGCACTGGTTCAAAGTTGCCTAAAAATGAAAGAACTTCAAACATGAAATTTACTCAAAGCTCACTGAAACTTTAGTTCTCTGAGTTGCTAAAAGACTAACACTATTTTTTTAAAGATTTTATTTATTTATTTTTAGAGAGAGGGGAAGGGAAGGAGAAAGAGGGAGAAAAACATCAATGTGTGGTTGCCTCTCACATGCCCCATACTGGGGACATGGCTGGCAACCCAAGCATGTGCTTTGACTGGGAATCAAACCAGCGACCTTTTGGTTCGCAGGTCTGCACTCAATCCACTGAGCTGCACCAGCCAGGAGGACCAACACTATTTTTTACCCTTTCCCTCAGAACTTCCTGGTAAACATGAAGATATTCTATTGCAAAACCACTGTGTGGGACTCCCACTTCCTGTCTAAACTGTGGACATCAGCTTGTTATCCTGTTAGTAATGAGAACTATGCCCGATGTCTAGGAACGCTGACCCAGCCGACAGACAGCTCTATGCTGCCTTTTCTCAACTAGCCTCTTCCTGGGTATGGCTTATCTCTCCAACTCAATTCACCTCCTTGAAGGCACAGGCTGTGTGTTACTTTTACTTTTTTAAATCTCCCACAGAATCCAGTGTAGCCACACATGAAGTGATATTTGCCAAATGCCTGAACAAATGAATTACTGACTTATGTGTTATTTTTTCCATTTTTTTCCAGAATTAAAATGAGGCTCAGAGCCCTGGCTGGTGCGGCTCAGTGGATTAATCGAGTGCCAGCCTGTGAACCAAAGGGTCACTAGTGATTCCCAGTCAGGGCACATGACTGGGTTGTGGGCCAAGTTCCCAGTGAGGGGTGCTGGAGAGGCAAGCATACATTGATGTTTTTTTCCCCTCTCTTTCTCTCTCCCTTCTCCTCTCTAAAAATAAATAAATAAATAAATTCTAAAAAAGGAAGTGAGGCCCAGAGAAGTACAGTATCTTAGCCCATGACTGCACAGCAAGCTGATCGTGAAGGTCAGACTCAAAACCCCAAATCACATGCTCCAAGTACCCATAGGGTTCCTACAGAAACTGTAAATCAAAGCATGCACTTACTTAAAAATAACCCCCCCATAAGAATTGTAGGTCAGACCTGTGTGTGGATATTTTCATCAGAAAACTGCATCTCATTAAAATACTGAAAAATATACATTTCTTAACATATGTTTCTACAAAGAACAAGAATCTGTGATCAGTGGCATCTCCCCTACTGTGAAAGTTTAAATATGTACAGGACCCAAACTCCCTTATCAACAGTAGGCAGCTTTTCTGTACTTTTCCATTAATTTGGTAGGTTTTCACCCAAAATTGAGTCATTTGACAACTATTTATTGAGGACTTCTCTGTGCAGCTCCTGCATTGCTATTGGGAATACAGTTGTGGACTTAACGAACTGGGATCCTGCCTTCAAGGGACTTCCCTGGTGGGGAAGATGAGTAGCAAACAAAACAAGTGCACTATATGCACAAGGATGAAATGAGCAAAATACCATGACGGACAAGAGCTGGGTGCTGGGGACAGAGAACCAGAGGCCTCTGCTAGGAGAGGACATTATGAAAGAGCCCATTTCCCAAGAGTACTGTGAAACAGTAAATCCATGCTGGTCTCTGCTCCTACACCCTTGTGATTTCTTCAGCAATAAGAGCAGAAAGAGCATCTCTTGTTCTAATGCAGAGACTCTGGGTGGCTCCTGGATGGGTTGGTCACCAGAGACCAAGCCCTGATTAGAAGCTCAGGATTCTCAGCCCTGCCCCACATCTCCCCAGAGGTGAGAGGGGCTAAAAATGGAGTGATGGTAATCATACCCATGTAAGGAAACTCCATAAAATCCCAATAGTAGGGATTCACAGAGCTTCCAGGTGGGTGAACACATCTACACCAGGAGATGACGCACAACTCCACGGGGACAAAAGCTCCTGTGCTCAGGACTCTCCCAGACCTTGCCCTGGCTGTTTGTCTGTATCCTTTATCATATCTTTTAAAAAACTGGTAAATGTTAAGAGTGTTCCTGAGTTCTGTGAAATGCTCTAACAAATGATGGAAATCAAGTAGGGGGGTCATGGGAACTTAATTCATAGCCAAGTTGGACAGAAGTTGTGGGGAACCTGGGGACATACTCCTTGTGATTGATATGTGAGGGAGGATGGTCCAGTGGAACTAAATTAACCCAGGTTACTATCAGAACTGAACTGTAGACACCCAGCTGGTGTCACTGAACTGCTGATATGTGGGAAACCCCACGTACCTGCTGTCAGAAGTGTCATGAGTGTGGTGGTGGTGTGAGAGTAAAGAGAAACACAGCAGAAAGGTTATAGTTGTTCCTATACAAGTACACACACAGTACAATTTGCTAGACAAACTGTACTTAATTTGTACATTATTTAATCTGTACTTTAATACCCATTAAATAAAATAGTACAATAGTCCCAAATTTCAGTGATCCTCCTTAATCTCCAATAGAGCTCCTAAAAAGAAGCTATCAATAATCTCTAACCAGGAAATTCCTAATTGGGGCTTTCAAGCAGCCATTATTTTACCACACTCACAAGATTAGAAATGCAGCCATCCCTGCAAAACAAAGGTGGAAGCACTTGTGTGTAAATGCAATGGACACATGTGGCAACAGCTAGGCCACCTTGCCAAGGGCAGGCAGGCAGGCTGGTCAGCAGTCTTGAATGTGGCTGGCCAGGACCGCATTTCCTTCTGAGGTGGAGAGGCTTGTAAATGGTTCGGGTGCTATGCCCATGGCTTTTCCACGCTGACCTCTGCGCTCAAGAATGGCCAATTCAACCTGTGCACCTGTGTGTGGGCCAACACACAATGCCCTCAGCAGGTGGTAGGTCCACCAAAAAAGTACCAGAGCCAAAACAGGACCCCTGGTCTTAGGATCTCAAAGAGAAAAGCTTCTTTTAAATATTGACTAGTGTGTGTGTGTGGGGAGGTATAAAGGAGATAAATGGTAATGAAAAAAACACAGTAAAAATATTGACTAGTCAAGATTAAAAGGGATTTGAGGGTGGCAAGTGACAGAGAAGACTACCAACCACTGAATAACTCAAGTCCCCGTGGAACCCTCCTCCTATGAGTGGGTCAGACAGACAAGGTGCTGTGAAAGGCATTCAGTTCCACCGTGCTCAGGAAAAAGGACAGCATCTTGCCTTCCTCTGCATCTCGATCACTTCACTTCTGAGTGTCAACCTGCTGCCCTCTGCCCTGGTTGCAAATATTTTCCTTATTCAAGATGCTACTTCAAAGTCACACTTAGTTCTTAACTCCAGGGTGAACTTAACCCCAGGCTGCACAGGTGCCAGAGTGCATGGGTGGCCATCACCCCCTCCCCAGGACCCCCTCCAACTGCCCACCCACTTGGGAGTTCTCTCCCCTGTATCCTGCTATCACCACTCAGATCAAGGCATCCCCCAGATGGAGCACTTAATCCATGCCTTCATTAAATTCATATCCTCAAGTCCATATTAAACTTTTTTTAACCATGAAGGAGTTTGAATTCTTCATTCAGAGTACAAGATTCTTTGTCTTGTTTCAATTAAATCAATTACAGATATAACCTATTTTGTCTATGATGTCAATTAAATCTATGAAATCCAGCAGCATCCTGAATTACAGTAAGAAAGACAAAGATCCTGAGTGTGATGCACCAACCTGACTGGGCTGAGGGCTGCTGCTCACTGCATAACAGTGTGGCATGACCCTCACCTCAACCTTTGGGAGAGAGACTGAAGTCACCTGCCTCCCCATGCCTCCAAATCTTGGACCCTGGGCCTTGGTCACAAGTGGAACCACCCTGTTGCATGTCATCTGTCTCACACAGGTTTTGTGATCTCTACAGAAGAGAAAACTGAGGCTCAGAGAGCTCAGTGGTTTAAGGTCGCCTAATAAAGAGAATCTGAACTGTTTTACCTCTAGTTCCAAAGCCCTTCTTCATCACACTGCACTAAATAAAAGCCTAATTACCCACCTCCACTGCATGTTCCCTCGAGTAAGAAATTAAAACTTTGATCACATAACAATCTAAACTGGTATTTCCAGAGCAGCACCTGCCTGATTGGTGGCATGTGTCTGGGCTACGCTCGGCTGACCAAGGTTCGCTTGACTTCCAGAACCTCGAAGCACAGGGCACCGAGCCAAGGACTCAACAGTGAGACGTCTGTCTCCTCGAGCAGGGGGCAGGGGCGGCAGACTGCAGACAAGGCACAGTCCTCCCCCACGCGGATTTGGTCGCACCCCGAAAGCAGCGAGACCACTAACAGTAGTTGAGAGCGCAGGCTTCAGTGCGCCTCGCTTCGGTCGAGGGTTGTGCCATTTTGCTAGCTGCAGAGTCGCACCTAAATCGGCCCTTCTCTCCGAACCTCACCTTCTTCATCTGTAAAATGGGCTCGCAGCTCTTTCAGGAGGATACGGTAGCAGGTGAAGGGCTGCGCTTAAATGTTGAATACTTAACCGGAGAATGCTTAGGAGAGCGGCCGGCGTTAAGCTGAGGCCCCCACCTCTACTGTATCCGTGTGTGGCCAGGTACGGAAGCTGCAGCCTCATGGACGCCCAACCCTTCACCCCACACACTAACAAGGCGCTCCCCACTTCCTCGGGCCTCTCAGCGCCACGTGGGGGTGGGGAGTGTCACCAGAGGACGCTCACAGCAAAGTGCTCAAGGAGCACCGGGGTCCCCGAAGCTGCTCACCTACCTAAAAGAGATCCTGCGCACCACCCTGTCGATACCTAGCCCACGCTGATGGCTGAGCGACCAGAATCCGCGACCCAGGCCGCCGGTAATCCTCCGCGCTGGCTCTAGAGTGAAAGGCGCACGGCAACTGAGGGGTTACTCCACACTTGGCGCGCGCCTCGAGCGCGCCCCGCCTCCGGAGGTGCCCAATCAGAGTGCGGAGGCGTGACCTTCTGTGGAAGGGTTATGGGGGGCAAGGCTCCCAGGGCCCCACGAGTGCTAGGCAAGGGCCTCGTGGTGCGACCGATCAGCTAGGCTGGGGAGTGCAGGGCTGTGCTGGGCTGGCTGCCAGCCTAGGCAGCGGGGATTTCCTGGAGGATAGCGGCAGGCCTGTCCCAGTATCTTGGGTAGGCCCTGGGTTGGGAGTGAATTTAGTTGCTTACATTTAACTTTTTCATTGTCCTTATTTACAGTTTAGCACAGTGGTCATTTAAATAGGACAAACGTGGATTCGAACTTCATCACTATTACTCTGTACATGTGGAATCCTATGTCAGTGACTTCACTTTTTGAGTTTCATATATCTAATTTTTGAACTGGAGATAATTAGATCTGCCTGGCATGGCTGTCAGGAGGATTAACAGATCTAAAACACTTAACATTATGTCTGACACACAGTAAGGGCTCAATAAATATTAGAACATAAATAATAAGAATAATGAAAACGAAGAGACTGCACAATATAGGGAAAAGAGCTGACAAAGATTCTCTCCTTAACCAAATTCTTACTCAGGCTTTCCTGAACGCCTTTTTTTTTTTCTTTATCTTCACCAGGGAACATACTTATTGATTTTATTATTTTTATTTAAAGATTTTATTTATTTGCCCCAGCTGGTGTAGCTCAGTGGATTGAGTGCTGGCCTGCAAACCAAGGGATCTCCAGTTCAATTCACAGTCTAGGGTACATGCCTGGGTTGCAGGCCAGGTCCCTGCTGGGGTGCATACAAGATTTCTTAGAGGGGAAGTGAGGGAGAAAGAGAAAGAGACAAGATCAATGTGTGGTTGCCCCTGGCATGCCCCCAAATGGGGAACCTGGTCCACAACCTAGGCGTGTGCCCTGATTGGGAATCCTGATTGGGCAACCTTTTGGTTTGGAGGGCAGTGCTCGATCCACTGAGCCACACCATCCAGGGCCATGCTTATTGATTTTAGAGAGAGGGAGAGAAATTTGGATCAGTTGCCTCTACTATGGGCCCCTATGGCAGAACCTGCAACCCAGGCCTGTGCTGTGACCTGTAATTGAATGAATACACAACCTTTCAATTTAGGGGACAATGCTCCAACCAATTGAGCCAAGGGGAACCATGAACTCTTTTTCAATGAAGCCTGTGCGGGGTCAATACAAGGTTCTCCCAATACCTGTGACAGGGCTGACCAGGGGTTCCCTGGCCAGAGGAATGTGTATTGTTTTGGGAATGGGTTGTAACTCCCTCCTTATCTCCTTTTGGGAGCGGCTTCTTGTCCTGTGACTGCTTCTGGACCTTTTCTTTTTGCACGTAAACACTGAGGTAATATAGTTTAGAGTCACGCATAGCACAAGTGCCTCCTTTGTCTGGGATGCCTTATAACAAGCCTCAGACTAGAGGAGGTGCATTCTCTCCTTGCATCGATCTAGTGCCATCAGTGCACTCCCCTATAATGTGAGTAGTATACGTCAGGCATGTTCACATCTGTTAATATACTGGGTGGTTATTTTCCTGGAATATCACAAACTTTTTTTTTTTAAGATTTTATTTATTTATCTTTAGAGGGGAAGGGAAGGAGAGAGGGAGAGAAACATCAATGTATGGTTGCCTTTCATGCATCCCCTGCTGGGAACTGGCCTGCAGGGAACCAGCCTGCAACCCTGGTATGTGCCCTGACTGGGAATCAAACGGCGATTTTCTGGTTCGCAGGCCCGTGCTCAATCCACTGAGCTACACCAGCCAGGGCTGAATATCACAAACTTTTAAGCAGCTTCCCGGTTTAAAGTTCCCGTGTTACAGCCTGAATTTTAGATTTTCATATTTGTCTCTGCATTGTCCACTTTTGGCAAGGATGCTGCTAAGTCAGTTTGACCAGAACCCTTGACCCTCCATATCTGATTGGATTCCTCATGCTCCACCATCTGGGTGGTGTCTGATCACCCTGGCCTAGTCAGTTTAGGGAGAATCCCAGTTACCCCTGTTTCTTCCTCTAATTTTCCATCCACTGACCCGAACCCTGCTCTTTGGCTGTACAGTCCAACTTGTCCATGCCATATACAATCTCTTGAACCCAATCTCTCTCCCACAGTGGTCCCTATACCTATGGAAATAGTCCCCCCTTGAATAGAGTTCCTTATTCTGTCATTGAATAATTTGTTCTTTTTTAAAAAATATATTTTATTGATTATGCTATTACAGTTGTCCTATTTCCCCCCTCATTCCCTCCACCCTGCACACCCCCTTCCCCACTATTCCCCCCCTTTAGTTTATGTCCACGTGTCTCAAGTTCTTTAGATTCTATGTTTCCCATACTATTCTTGCTCTCCCCCCTATTTTCTACCTGCCATCTATGCTACTTATTTTCTGTACCTTCTCCCCCCTTCTCCTCCTCCCACTCCCCTGTTGATAACCCTCCATGTGATCTTCATTTCTATGGTTCTGCTCCTGATCCAGCTGTCTGCTTAGTTTGCTTTTGTTTTAGGTGTGGTTGTTAATAACTGTGAGTTTGCTGTCCTTTCACTGTTCATCTTTATCTTCTTTTTCTTAGGTAAGTCCCTTTAACATTTCGTATAATAAGGGCTTGGTGATGATGAACTCCTTGAACTTGATCTTATCTGAGAAGCACTTTATCTGCCCTTCCATTCTAAATGAAAGCTTTGCTGGATAGAGCAATCTTGGATGTAGGTCTTTGGATTTCATGACCTGGAATACTTCTTTCCAGCCCCTTCTTGCCTGTAAGGTCTCTTTTGAGAAATCCACTGACAGTCTGATGGGAACTCCTTTGTAGGTGACTGTCCCCTTATCTCTTGCTGCTTCTAGGATTCTCTCCTTCATTTGAATCTTGGCTAATGTAATTATAATGTGCGTTGGTGTGTTCCTTCTTGGGTCCAACTTCTTTGGGACTCTCTGTGCTTCCTGGATTTCCTGGAAGTCTATTTCCTTTGCCAGATTGGGGAAGTTATCTTTTATTATTTGTTCAAATAAGTTTTCTACTTGTGGCTGTTCCTCTTCCCCTTCCAGTACCCCTATAATTCGGATGTTGGAATGTTTAAAGATGTCTAAGCATCTTCTCATTTTTTTGAATTCTTGTTTCTTCATTCTTTTCTGTTTGGTCATTTTTTTCTTCCTTCTGGTCCACTCCCTTGACTTGAGTCCCAGTTTTCTTTCCATCACTCTTGGTTTCCTGTGCATTTCCCTTCATTTCAATTAGTTTAGCCTTCATTTGTTCCTCTAATTTGTGACTAAAATCAACCAGTTCTGTGAGCATCCTGATCACCAGCGTTTTGAATTGTGCATCTGATAGGTTGGCAATTTCTTGGTCACTTAGAGTTATTGGCTCTGGGGCTTTGAGTTCTTCTTGAGCCATTTTTGGTCTGTTCTTGCCTGTTAGGTATGAGGAGAGGGGCCTTAGTTGTTCACCAGGGTGTGGCTGCCTAGGTCACTGGGTTGTGATGCTGTATGTGGGGGCAGGGTCAGAGAGGGGTAATAGTGGTCCCCTCTGCTGCTTCCCCCCACTGGGGCCTGCGCAGTCCGTCTCACTGCTCGCTCCTTTGCCTGGTTTATCTGCGTGGAAATGTGTGACCACGGTCAGCCTGCCGCCTTGCGCCCTCACTGGGTCCGCCTGTTGCTATTCCATGCCTGGGTCGCGCCTGAGTTGGTCAGATGGATCCTTCCTGCCTGACCCCACTCTGCTGCTGGCTCCTCCCCTCTTACTGGTCTGGCTGAGTGTTTCATTGTTGTCGGACTCCCGTACAGTTCAATTTTCTGTGTTTTGGCTGCACTTTTGTTGCTAAAACTTTGTTGTTTTTAAACTTGGTTGTGGGAGAAGGCACAATGTTTCCACCTACACCTCCATCTTGGCAGAAGTCCCCATATGGCTACTAATCTTAATGCCCATTTTTTAAGGGAAGCAATCTGTCCCACGTCATTTCTTCAAGGAGGAGACAGAATTCAGGCCCTGGTCCTGGTGACTGACAGTCAAGTCTCTGCATTTTCCTTTCAGTAATCATTTGAAGGAGAAGTCTGTGCCTTCTGTTCTACCCTGCTGCATACAATTTCCATAAAACTATAGCAAAGGTTCTTTTCTTCCTTTAAAAATAATGTTAAGCCTTCACTGGTGTGGCTTAGTTGGTTGGAGCATCATCTCATAAACCAAAGGGTTTGACTCCGTGAGGCACATACATGCCCAGGTTGTGAGGTTTCGTCCCTGGCCAGGGGATGTAGGAGAAGCAATTAATCAATCTTTCTCTCTCACATTGATGTTTCTCTCCCTCTCTTTCACCCCCTTCCACTCTCTCTAAAATCAATCCTCAACTCAGGATAAAAATTTTTAAAAAATATTAAAATTACATTTAAAAATGTTAAAGGGAAACGTCTTAGGCCTGGGCACTGTGATTCATATTCTGAAAGCAGTTTGGCTCTTGAGTATGGTCAATGGTGCTGGGTAGGCAAGTCAAGCACTTCCATAACATGCAAAGACTGTGTATACCTGTAAATGGGCAACGGATTATCAAGCTCTGCAAGAGACTAACCCAAAACTGCACTGGAGTGGAACTAAGCAAGGCTTTAAATCCTCCTTCTGCTCCTTTCTTGCTCATTATCCTTACCTGTGTAACAAGAAATCTCCAAACGCAATATCCTAAAACAAAAATTTATTATTATCTCTCACTTTTCTGTGGCTTGAGTGGGCTCATGTGGGTGGTTCTCTGACAGTTGAAGGTCCGGCACTGGCTAGGGCTGCAGTCACTGGTGGGTTGCCTGGACCGGATGTGCACCATGCTCCTTCCCTTGGCCTGAATCCCAAGGATAAAAAAAAAGGAAGACAATGAGACATCAACCTAAGATGGATTTCAAAACAGTCTTAGATTCTGACCAGTGTGGCTCAGTTGGTTGAGCATCATCCCACAGGGCAAAGGGTCACCAGTTCAATTCCCAGTCAGGGCACATGACTCGGTTTTGGATTTGGTCCCTGGTTGGGGGTGTACAAGAGGCAACTGGTCAATGTTTCTCTCCCTCACTTTTTCCCTCCCTTCCCTTCTCTCTAAAATTAAATAAATAAAAATTAAAAAGTTATTAAATTAAAATAAAAGTTTTTTATTTTAGAATGGAAGATGGGTGGAAGTGGTACTTGAGGTTACATAACAAAGGAAACTATAAGCTAAGTGCTCATGGAGAGGGGAAGCTGACCGGAAACCAGCTGTTTTGCTGCAAAATCCTGGAAGTGATATGCAGGAGCTAACTCATACTGGCTCAGGAGAGCTGATTTATAAAATTTCAGGAATATTGTTTCTGTGTGGCACAAATCCTATGCAGGCATACCTCAAAGATGTTATGGGTTAGGTTCCAGACCACAGTAACAAAAGAGAATATTGCAAAAAAGCAAGTCACGGAAAATTTTTTTCCAGTGCATATAAAGGTTATGCTTACAGTATCCACGGTCTGTTAAGTGTGAAAGAATGTTATGTCTAAAAAACAATGTACATATCTTAATTAAAAATACTTTATTTATTTAAAAAATGCTAACCTTCACCTGAGCCTTCTGTGAGTTGTAATCCTTTTGTTATTTTTGCTCGTGGAGGGTCTTGCCTCAGTGTTGATGGCTGCTGACTGATCAGAGTGGTTGGTTGTTGCTGAAGGTTGGAGTAGCTGTGGCAATATCTGAAAATAAGATAACAATGAAGTTTGTGGCATTAATAAACTCTTCCTTTGATAATGATTTTTCTGAAGTATGTGATGCTATTTGATAGCTTTTCATCCACAGTAGAACTTCTTTAAAAATTGAAGGTAATTCTCTCAAACCCTGCTGCTGCTAAGTTGATATATTATAGTATTCTAAATCCCTTGGTGTCATTTCAGTAATCTTCAACGCATCTTCGATTGGAGTAGACTCCATCTCAGGAAACCACTTTCTTTGCTCATTCATAAGAAGCAACTCCTTATCCATTAAAGTTTATTATAAGATTGCGGCAATTCACACCCTCAGACTCTACTTCTAATTCTCATTCTCTTGCTATTTCCATCACATTTGCAGTTACTTCCTCCACTGAAGTCTTGAATCTCTTAAAGTCATCCATGAGGGGTTATCAACTTCTTGCAAACTCCTGTTAATGTTGATATTCTGACCTCTTCCCATGAATCACAAATGTTCTTAGTGTCATCTAGAATGGTGAATTGTTTCCAAGGGTCTTCAGTTTATTTTACCCAGATTCATCACAGGAATCATTATCTATGGAAACTGCAGCCTTATAAAACATATTTCTTAAATAATAAGACTTGAAAGTCAAAATTACTCCTTGACCCCTGGGCTGTGGCTTGGATGCTGTGTTAGCAGGCATGAAAATGACACCAACCTCATTGTACACCTATCTCCGTCAGAGCTCTTGGGTGACCAGGTGCATTGTCAGTGAGCAGTAATACCTTGAAAGGAGTCTCTTCTTCAGAGCAGTAGATCATAATAGTGCGCTTAAATTATTCAGTGAACTATGTTGTAAACACATGTGCTGTCACACATCTTATAGAGCACAGGAAGAGCAGATTTAGTGTAATTCTTAAGGGTCCTAGGATGTTCGAAATGGAAAATGAGTATTGGCTTCAACTTAAAGTCACCAGCTGTGTTTGCACCTACCAAGAGTTGGCCTGTCTGTTGAAGCTTTACAACCAGGCATTGTGTTCTGCTCTCTGGCTATGAAAGTCCAAGATGGCAGCTTCTTCCAATAAAGGCTTCTTTGTCTACACTGAAAATATGTTGTTTAGTATAGCTGCCTTTATTAATGGTCTTAGTTAGATCTTTTGGTTAATGTGCTGCAGTTCCAACATCAGCACTTGAGGCTTCACCTTGCACTTTTATGTTGTGGAGATGCCTTCTTCCCTTAAACCTCACAAACCAGCCTCTGCTAGTTTCTGACTTTCCTTCTGTAATTTCCTCTCTCAGTCTTCATGGAATGGAAGAGAGTTAGAATCTTGTTCTGGATTAGGCTTTGGCTTCAGGGAATGTTGGGGCTGGTTTACTTTTCTATCTAGACTACTTAAACTTTCTCCCTGTCATTTTAAATAAAGCCGTTTCAATTTCTAATCATTCATGTGTAGTACTTTTAATTTCCTTCAAGAACTTTTCCTTTGCATTCACAGCTTGGTTAACTGGCACAAAAGGCCTAGCTTTTGGCCTAGCCAGGCTTTCAACATACCTTCCTCACTAAGCTTAAAAAGTTTTAGTTTTTGATTTAAAGTTACAAATGTGTGACTATTCTTTTACTTGAACACTTAGAGGTCATTATAGGGCTAATAACTGGCCTAATTTCAATATTGTTGTGTCTCAGAGAATAGGCAGGCCCAAAGAGAAGAAGAGAGGGAATGGCTAGTAGGTAGGGCCGTCAGAACACACACATTTATTAATAAAGTTCACTGTCTTATATGGGCATGGTTTATGGTGCCCAAAACAATTACAATAGTAATATCAAAGATCACAGACCATCATAAACAAATATAATAATGACTAAAAAGTTTGAATTTGCAAGAATTACCAAAATCTGGCACAGACACGAAGTGAGCAAATGGTGTTAGAAAAATGGCACCAATAGACTTGCTCTAGGTAGGGTTGCCACAAAGCTTCATTTTGTAAGCAGACAAACAAACAATCCCCCAACATCTGCAAAGCACAATGAAGCTAAGTACAGTAAAATGAGGTACACCTGAATAATTCTGTGCTACGGCCTACCTTCTTTTCACTAAGGTGGGTTCATTCTGAGGTCACCCATTTTACAGACATTTCTTGAGTACCGTACTTGTGCCAGGTGCTGTGCTGGGTACTGGGTAACAGTGATAAGCAGAATATACAAAGGGCCTGTTTGCAGGGATTTCCAGTCTTTGGGGATATTTATAAAATAATCATAAAAATAAATGCATAATGAACAATAATTAGTAATCATAATAAGCTTAATGAAGGACAAGTACATGAAATAGGTTTTTATGGGGTGAGAAGGTTTGAAAATGATGATTCCCCTGAGATACAGTTTAAGTAGGAGTTAATGAAGGGACAGGACTGCAGGAGGAAGCGAAAGGTTTTCTTAGGCTCCGCTGAGGAAGAAATGCCGATCAGCCACAAAGTTAGGCAGTATAGAGCTTTATTGGGGTTTGCACACCCAGGCGAGGTTCTCCAGTCTGCAAAGTGTGGCCAAAGAAGTCACGCCCAAGCAGGGAATATGGCAGGGATTTGGTCCTCTTTGAACAAAGCGGCAATATATTATTGGTGGCTTTCCTTGGGCTCAGGTTGCTATGTAGATATTCATTTTGGCAAAGCCCGCCCTTTCAGCCCTCTGGTTTGACATCAGCCGTCTTTTCCAGGTTGTAGTTCAGCTGCTGTTTTGTCCTACCCCGCCCATCCTGACAGGAAGTGCATTCCTAGAGGCAGGAACAGCATGTGGAAAGGCTTTGCGGTTCCCTGGGGGAACAGGCTGGTAAGAAAGAACAAGTAGGGAGAGAACATGCAGGCTTCTGTGCAAGTGATAGAAACCCAATCCAGATTGGCTTCAGAAGGTGGAGAAGACTTTATTAGCTCCCATAATTGAGAAGTTCAGAAGCCTACTGACTTCAGATTCAGCTTAAACTCAACAGGCCATTTAAGTCCCTCACCCTCTTTGCCTTTCTCAACATCTCTCCAGGGTCCCCCTCCAGGTATTCTTGGTGGGTGACACAAGAGAGCCAGCCTCCAGCAGGCAATTGTGTATCTCATGCCTCATTGGCTCAGTGGCTTATCCTTTCAGTGAATCATCGAGCTGACAGGGATGAGCTCCTGGTCAGTGCCACTCTCTCCCCAACCCGTGGTGGGAAGGATGGAGTCAACAACCGGGTAAAAGCAGCTGGGGGGGTGGGCAGGCCTGGCTGGTGTAGTTCAGTGGACTGAGCAAGGGCTGAGAACCAAAGGGTCACCAGTTTGATTCCCAGTCAGGGCACATGCCTGGGTTGCAGGCCAGGTCCCCAGTGGGGGCCACGTGAGAGGCATGTTTCTCTAACTCTCTTTCTCCTTCCCTTTCCCTCTCTATAAATAAACAAACAAACAAACAAACAAATAAATAAAATCCTTAAAGAAAAAAAAAGCAGGGAGGGGGAGCGGATGGTCCAGGTTTAGATCAGAAGGCAGAGGAAGCAAAGTAAACCTGATCTAATAACCTGATAAACTTATGCTTTGAGAAGATTCAGTTTTGTGAAGCAAATTTATCAATGGGCTCATGGGCCTTGCTTTTTGCGGGGGTGTGTCCCTGTAAAGTTGTTTGGCAAAAGAAATGTCTCAAATGACTCTATTTCATGACATAGCACCTAATTTACAATTCATAAATTGAGATGCTTGTATTTTTCCACTGTGAAATAAGATCGGAGAAGTATGAGGACTGTTTGCTTCTAGGTAGCTGCACGACCACTGATGAATTATTTTATGTCTCAGTCCTGTGAAAAATAGGAAACAGAATTGGAAACACTGTGTGATACAGGGGTGAGCTTATTTGAGAAGTTGATGCAGGCAGCCTGGATTGAAATTCTTGTCTACTTTGTCACTTGGCTAGTTATTTAATGTCAGTGTCTCAACTCCCATTATTAAAATGGAGATAATAATACCTACCTCATACTCTTGTTACAGTTAATAGGTGGTAAGCACTAAAGAGGACCTGGTCTGACATATCATGCTACATATGTGTATGCTATTATTATGTTATAAATATAATAAAAGAAAAACATACTTAAATGATAAAGAATTCAGTCAGTGTGTACCAAAACACAACTCATTTATAATATTGAAAAATTAGGAGCCCTGGCTGGTGTAGCTGAGTGGATTGAGCATGGGCTTGCGAACCAAAAGATCGAGGTTCGATTCCCCGTCAGGGTACATGCCTGGGTTGCAGGCCAGTTCCCAGCAGGGGCCAGTTCCCAGCAGGGGATGCACCAGAAGCAAACGTACATTGATATTTCTCTCCTCTCCTTCCCTTCCCTTCTAAAGATAAATAAATTTTAAAAAATTAAAAAAAAAAGAAAAATTAGGGCAACATAGGCTAAACAATAATAACAACAAAGCATTTAGTCTATGCCAGGAACTGCTCAAGCCTTTGCGGATGTTTCACTTAATCCTCACAACCCCATGAGATAGGTGGTACTATCACCTCCATTTTTCAGATGAGGCAACTAAGGCTCAGAGAAGTGAAGTGAGTTTGCCCAAGGTTATGGGCCAGTGAAGACTTGAACCCAGACATCTGTAATTCCAAACATCACACTCAGTGTTCCTCTAAACCAGCCTCCGGCTTTCACAGCTGCCCAGGGCACAGCAGCATTACTGGGGTGGAGAGGGTCAGCCCAGCCCACCCACCAGCTCTCCGGTAAGCCAAGCCCCGTCTCTCTGGCCAGATGGGTTGGAGCCTCTCCTCCCTCTGGACCACACCCACAATCCTTAGCCACCTTCCTCCGCAGACTCTACTCCTGGCCCCGCCTCCTACCCCGCCCACCGGTCACGCCCTGGGCGCCGACGCTGTGCTAGCGCGTGTGGTCGCCATTTTGGTCTTAGAGACGCCGTTTGGAGGCTTGGTCCGTTCTTCCTTCGGCAGGCAGCCGAGGCTGCGGCTAGGCCGGGCCTGTGGTCGGGGCCAGGTAGGCAGGGCGGGGCCAGTGACGGGTGGCGGCGCGGGCGTTGCGGGGCGCAGGTGCACGGGACGGGTGGGTGCGACTAGGACAATCCAGCCTCGCACCCTAAACTGCCCCCTCCCCCTTCCCCGCCCTCTCCCCTTCCCCCTCCCTCTTCCCCTTCCCCCTCCCTCTTCCCCTTCCCCCTCCCTCTTCCCCTTCCCCCTCCCTCTCCCCCTTCTCCCCCCTCCCCCCTCCCTCCTCCCTCCTGTCAGGTCTCTGGTTCGCAGGGTCCGGGTGTGGCGCGTTGCCGGTGGGACTTCCTTCTCCAGGCGTCCTTAGGAGTTAAGCCCTGAATTTGGGACCTGCGTCTAGGCAGCTTGGAAAACAAGCTCAAACCCAGCCATCACCGATCCCCGGTCTGACAGAGCCCCTAATTTTAATTTGGCCGTGCTAATCGCGGAAATTTCTTTACTCCCTTCTCAAACGATGTTTTTATTCCACTCAATTCACGCAGCAACTACTGAGGACCTTGATGCAGTTTTTAGATATTCAGTTTTAAAAGGTTTTTCCCCAATATATTAACTTTGGTGATAAAGATTGTTTTAATGTTGGCGCAGTTGGAGCGTTTAGCTTTTGTAAGGAATAGGAAATGTGGAATGGGAATTTGGGGCGTGAGGGAGTATGATTTCTAATGTTTAAAAATTTAAGTGCACAAGTAAAAATAATTCACCCACATTATGTACCCCACTAAATCATATCTTTCTTGTCTGTATTCTTGCTCTGCCCTGGATTGTCCCATTATTACACAGTTTTGATTAGAGGAGACACAATTCTGCTCTTAATTCTCTTTTGTATAGTCCCTGATATTTTAAAAAATATTGATTGTATATTTAGTTTTACATAATTACCATATAATGGAACCTTTTTTTTATGTCCAGTGTTCCTTTTCAAAAAATTTTGCAGTGAGCATTTTGGCCATATAGCTTTTTCTTTCGTGGGGTAAATTCCCAAGTGGGAAGTTCTGAACCAAAGTTACGCGTTCTTTTGTAGGCACTTGATAGGAATTGTTTTCCAAACCAGGCGTATTTACAGTAGACATTTTTCAAAATCCAGGTATTTGTCAGATTCCACTACCTGAAATGCAGGAGTCAGTGGAGCATCAAGTCATTTTTTTTTGTGGTGTTGGGAAATAGGCTGTGCAGCCTTCTGTTGTATGCACAACTGTCTGTACTAGAAGTCAGACTGAATTTGGCATAATGCCTGCTGCTTAGAGACCATTCAGCCTTGAGTAGTTTCTTCGTCTCCGGGCTTCACTTCCCCCGTGTTTTAAATGGGTCTGCTTTATTGAGTTACAAGAATTCAGAACACGCAGAACATGGTGTTAGCCATAAGAAAACATTCTCATGGAGAGGAAAGCAAAGTGCCTGGGATCACAGAGGCATGGAAGATACTCAATTTAGGTCTTACAATTCGAATTTTATTTAATATTGACATAAAAACATTTTATTGGAGGTATTACTAATAAAAGTAATTCTTTATGCTTTACAATGCCTCTTAATTTGCAGACTGCTTTCAATTCCATTTGTTAATCATTGCAACTCTGAAGTCAGGCTTTATTCAACAGACATTTGTTATTTAACAAACATTTATTGGGTCTCTGCCATGTGCCACATACTGTTTTAGGCACTGAATGTACAGCAGAGAATAAAATAGTAAAACAAAATAAAAAAACTGCTGTTCTGGACCTTAAATTCTGGCGGGGGAAGCTGTTTTTACCAAGCATCTATTTTCTTGTCAGGAAGGAAAAGGCTGAAGCCTGTAAAGCAAAGTGACCTGCCCAAGGCCTAGTAACTAGTAACCACGGAGAGCAGACTTGAGTCCTCACATTCTTACACGAGCCATCTTTAGGTAGAAAGTGTTTTTACATGTGTGCTTTAGAGGGCAAGCAGTGAACCAGAAAAGTTGGCGTTCGTGCTGCTGGTCACTACCAGAACCAATAAATAGAGATGAGGATTGAATCCTTATGGGCTCTTTTTTTTTTAATGTTTTATTTTTTAGAAACCAATGTGTGGTTGCATCTCATGTGCCCCCTACTGGGGACCTGGCCGGAGACCCAGGCATGTGCCCTCACTGGGAATTAACCAGCGATCCCTTGGTTTGCAGGCCAGTGCTCAATCCACTGAGCTACACCAGCCAGGGCTCTTTATAGGCTCTTTATTCAGATGATTAGCGGTCTGAGAAGCTGGTGGGTTATGTCCTCTCAAAAACCATACTCTCAAATGCTGTCTTAGATCTTATTTCAGCCAACCCTTTTTATAAGGAGAAGAACAGGGCGGGTAAGTGGTTTGGAATTCAGGAAAAGAGTAGGTAAGGAGTTTGTAATTCAGGGGAAAAAGTTAATCAGATAAAAGCTGCAGTCTTGACAGATTTTCCTAGCATACCTTCATCTGTTGACCTGTGATTCTTTATCTGCATCCTGGTCAGCAGACTTTCTCTCCATGGAGCACAGTGGCTCAGATACCATCTTGATGGCTTACAATCCTGGAGCACAAAGGTTGAATTGCTTGCAGGCCTCCTGGAGTCTGGGCAGGTCTGGTCATACATTTCAGTTCCTAGAACAACAGCTTTCTACCTGCATTAACCACTAAGCCTGTTAACTATAACTTAAAGCTAACATTTTTTAACTCCTGGGTTCCCCCATCATTATCCCAATGTTAGTCTTAACTATCTTCTTAGATCAGTTTCTTGTGGAAGTAATTATTTCGCTGTAGAGCATGTATTGGGGAGGGGGCTCTGCCCACAGGGCCCTGCCCCCCTGGCTATCGTGGATGAGAATAAGTCTACCAAGACTTGATCTGCTTGGGTAGGATAGGTGGCCAATCTCTCAAAGGAGAAGGGCCGAGAGCCTTTTCTTCAGTGGGCTTTTATTGGGTTCATTTTGCACAGGAATACAGGTAAAGCTCATCAATCATTGTCAGGCAGTAAGTATCAAAGAACTACGAGGGCTTATTTTGAGTCAGGGTCTGTTAGCTAAAGGGCTACAAAACTTTGGGAAACAAACTCATTTCCTGCTTGGACCCTTATCATTTAATTGAGGGCATTCTTATAAAGGCAGGTTTCACAGGATTTTATGTACTCTTTCTTAGGTCTGATCACCCTGGGGAACCCCCCTTTCCAGCACAGGGCTGCACCGCCCTCTGTCATTGTTTCAGGCTTAAGTCAGGCTGGGGATGTAAGGCAGCCAGGAGATCAGGAGACTTCTTGCAGACAGAATGAGGACTCAGGCTATGTCAAAGCCAAGGGGTGAGGGTCTATCACCCCCTTATTCTATAGTCCCCAAGTCCTTCCTGTCCTTCCCTGGGGGCCCCCCATGATCATGCCTGTCTTAGGTGGTTCCTCCCTTGAGGAATCTTACCCATCATTGGCTAACCGATCATGCATTGGGAGCCAGGCAAAAGGGGACAGAGGCAGCATCCCTGCCAGGGAGATAAGCTTTGTCTCCTTAGTGGCTTATGTTCTGAAGGTTAAGCATTCAGCCTTAGCCGTGGGGGGGTGGGGGGTGGGGGGTGGGGTTACAGCTTTTGAAACCAGGTATGGTGGTTACCAACATGTATCCTAGCATTAGAAAGTCTCTTAAGGAATACACTTAATTGCAGATCCACATAAGGGGACACATTGTATGCAACAAGCTGTGATACTGAAAAAGATAAAAAGAAGGAAAACAACAGATGTCTTTCCATGACCAGCAATATTAGTCAGCTAGGAAGTTAGTTTAGACAACTCAGTACCAAAGAATCCCTCTTCATTTTATCTTGGGCACCACTTAATTTACTTGCTTTACTTTATGCTCTATTAGCTATGAATTATCATTCGGATTGAAGTAGTAGAGTCCTTTAAATTCTTAACACCTGTGATTCTGTCTTAAAAGGTGGTAGCCCATAGCTGCACAATTTTCTAATATGACTTCTCTAACTTGTTGTAGTTCTTGACTGATGGCCCTAATGGCTTGAGAGGTGGCACTCAAAAGTTTTTTTAAAAAATTTTTTATTTATTTATCTATCTATCATCTATCTATCTATCTATCTATCTATCTATCTATCTATCTATCTATCTATCTATCTATCTTTAGAAGGGAAGGGAAGGAGAGAGGAGGAGAAACATCAATGTATGGCTGCTTCTGGTATGTCCCCTGCTGGGGACTGGCCCCTGCTAGGAACTGGCCTGCAACCCAGGCATGTGCCCTGACTGGGAATCAACTGCAATCTTTTGGTTCACAGGCCTGGGCTCTATCAAAAGCTTTTACCATCCTGCAGGCTAATCTATGTATTTATACATTCAAAGAGGTTACCATGACTGGCATTACAAGTATAGTTGAAGATATATAATTAGGTGGGCTAAAAAGGCACAAATCATTATTACATTAGGCACAAGGGAGCCTTCCTGTTGAGAGCCTGGTGGTGTGGGGCTTCTGAGGCGTCACCACCGTCAGTCTTCCTAGAGAGTATGGTCCGGGAACATTTGTTAGAACATAGGAATAAACAGTCCTTCCACATATTGGAAATCATCCTGCAGGATGATTTAACATGATCAGCAATTTAACATGATCAAAGGCATGATATATATCAGTGTTGGTGGTGCAGTTCATTTCCACATCTGCCGAAAGGGTAAACAGTTTTTAGGATATTTGACAGAAGTTGCAACACACCAGGTGGGGCTACATTAGTGACTTTTAAGGCAAACATTTCCCTGCCCTTTAATTACTGGTCCCCAGTTGTAAATACTGGAGTAGGTTATGGTCTTACTGAGATGCTGAAACAAAGTATAATTTTGAGACTTTCCAGGGGAATAAAAATAATCTATAAGGCGTGAAGTGAGTCTGTTCAATGTAGGTTCCTCCTGTAACACAAAAGTCAAGATATTTAGAACATTTATTGCTAAATATACCCAAATCTTTTTATCTTGTTTGAAAGGAGTAAGTTCTCCATAATACAGTGTTAAAAACTAGCAAAAAAGACTAAGTCATTGTTTTTGAAAGATGACTTTCAGGTCTTCTTGTAGTTACTCTGGTGCTTTCTTTACTCTGGTGTGATGAATCCAGGTGTGATTCCTGCCAGTGTCACTGACATGGGGGTTAGGGAGTACATCCCAAGGTCCAGTCCACTTTCTAGTTGGCTCTCTGGGGGATCCTGCCCAGGTTTTGAGTAGCACCTTATCTCCAGGCTCAAAGGAATGTATCGAACCTGTGGGGGAGAGGTCTCCAATATAGCTAAAGTCTGACTTTAACCTCATGTATAGTGCTTTACCTCCAGTTCTTGACCTACACACATATCTCCCACTTTAATCATAGCCTGAAAAGGTCGCCCATATAAAATTTCACGAGGACTCAATTCCATTTCAAGGAGCCACCCTTATCCTGAGCAGGACAACAGGTAAAACTTGATCCCAATGGAGATGAGTTTCTTCACACAGTTTGGCTGCATTTTTCTTCAGGGTGTGATTCATCTTTACCTTCCCAGAAGCCTGAGGTCTCCGTGCCATGTGGCGTCTCCCCTTGATTCCTAAAAATCTACTAATGTTCTCGTGCAATTTCTGAAATGAAAGCAACTCCATTATCACTCTGGATGTTCCTGGGGTAAGCCAAAGTGAGGAATTACTTCCCTCAGGAAGGTTTTAACTACCTCTGAGGAATTCTCAGTTCTAGTAGGATAAGCCTCTGCCCATCCTGAAAATGTGTCGACAAAGATTAACAATGTTTCCATCCTCGGACCCTTGGTGTCTGGGTAGTCTACTTGCCAGTCCTCAAACGGGACTGTCCTTGGTATTGTTTCCCCTCTTCTTTCTGATGGGGATCTGTCTTAGGATTGTTCTGGCACACGGGGCTTTGGGAACTCCAGGGCCCGCGAGCCATAGTTTAATGTAGGTGGTTCATAACCCCAGCTCTCAGCTTTCTCTAAGTCTGCAGTTGAATATTCAGGGTTGGATTGTGACGAGTCTAGAACAGGTACCAAAGGCACATAAATGTCCCTTTAGCAGCCTGTTTCGCTGTTTAATCAGCCAGATTGCTTCCTCTAGCCACGTAGGTGTCCTCTTTCTGATGCCCCAGGCATTGCATAACTGCCACCTGTAAAGGTCCCTGAGCAGCCCCTAATAATTAAAATTTCTGTTGCATGTTTAGTTTTCTTTTCATTGGAAGTTCATAGTCCTCTTTCCTTCCAGATACACACTCACCGTCTTTTAAATCAATTCTGCTAGAATAAATATCATCAATTATTTCAGTGCAGCCATGCATTAGCACAACTGAGTCAGGCTCTGGGAGAAGGGAGGCAGGCAGTAACTTACAGTTTTGAATTGCTTTGTGCCTGCCCATTCTTCCAGTAGTGAGCCACGAATTTCCTTGTGCTCCAGCAGGCTCGGCACTTGGTGTGGTGCAGAAAAAGTTTTCCTGTCCTAAGGAAAACTTTTCAGCTTGCTGTAAAAGCTCATAGGTGGCTGCCACAGCTCTCTAGCAGGCTGGCTACCCCTAGACAGTGTGTTCTAGTTTTTTTGACAAGTCCAGTAAGACTTCTTTTGGCCAAGTTCAAGCATGAGCCCAGGAAACCCAATTTCTTGTTGACAATTCTGGGCCTTCTGTGCTGATACTCTACAGCCACAGATGTCAAGTGGTTCGTGCATGTTTGTATTGTAACAGAGTTCCTCCTTCTAGTTTTAAGTCTTCTAAGTCCTGGCTCAGGGTCTCCCAAAAATCACTGGGGAGTTCTTGAAGCCTTGTGGTAAGACTGTCCAGCAGTACTGAGTCTTGACCCGAGACTCCGGGTCCTGCCATTTAAAAGCAAGCAACAGTTGAGAGTCCTGGTCAACCGGAATGCAAGAGAAAGCATATTTTCAGTCCAATACTGAATACCAGAGGCTGTGCCCAGGTATACTGTTCTGTACAATGTCATTTATGGCCCTTAAATCTTGTATCGTATGGGGAGCAGAAGGGCCAAATGAGTCCGTATTCCTGAAATTTCTGAATTATTGGGCACATCCCTTCTAGGGTCTCCTTTTGCAAGGGTACTGCCTCCTATCAGGAGCCCCTGCCCCTGGTTTGAGGTCAGCTTTTGCAGGGGAGGCTCGCTTAGCCCTCCCTGGCCTTCCAGCGTTCCACACAATGGGGTTCACTGATTCTCAGTTCCTTCTAGCCAGAGTCGCTTTCCTCCTCCTTCCTTTGGTTACAGAAGGAACAGCTGGGCTTGCTCTGGAGGGAGCTGCTGTTATTCTGGAGAGAAAGTGATTTGAGCACAGGGTTTTGATAACAAATCTCTTCCCAGACGAGAAAAACTCTATCTTCCACAGCACATTCTAATGGCTTCAAGAGGAATTGGCATTCAGCCCTGGCTGGTGTGGCTGAGTGGATTGAGTGCTGGCCTGCAAAGGGTTGCTGGTTCAATTCCCCGTTGGGGCACATGCCTAGGTTGCAGGGCAGGTCCCCCGATAGGGGGCACACGAGAGGCAATCACACATTGATGTTTCTCTCCCTCTCTCTCTCTCTCTCTTCCCCCTCTCAAAATAAATAAAATCAAATCTTACAAAGAAAAAAATGTGCATTCAGGGCTTCCAGAAATTCCAATTACAGTTCAGTGAGAAGTCGATTGACCACAGAATATGTTGTTCTGGTATCAATAAAAAGGTCTACTATTAGCCCCCCCACTGTAGGTTTTTCAAGTTCTCAGACTCTGACCTCCTTTTCCTGCACTTGGGCCTCTCATTTTTCCAGTGCCCTTGTCCCTTGCAGTGTGATTGCCCTGCCCTAATAGGGGCTTGTCCTGCACTGAATTTGGTTCCCTGACAGATTTGGGATGGAGAGACCGGTTCGGGTCCACCTCTGGCTCCATCAGCCAAGTAAGGTCTCCCCCAGGGCTGGAGGGACAGTGGGACCCCTGACCATGCTCGCAGCAGCCAGATGTCCTGATCTCCCTGGTCCATCTCCTGAGCTTCTGCTATCTGCCATAAGCAGAGTCCCTTTTCTCTGGATCATTAATCAATTTCCTTTTAATACTGCATCTTTATTATATAAAATTATAAAGGCCTGCCTGTACATAATGTATTTCATTCCATTTCTCTGCTCTTTGAGACAACAACTCTAACTGTAGTATAGTATAATAATTTAAAGACCTCTTCAGTGGCCATCATGCTCCTGAGCTTAGAGGTTACAATAAAAAATCATTTTCTTTTTAGTCATAGGTTTATAGGCATAGGGCAACCAATCAACGTAAATTTGTCCCAAAGGGCTGTTTTCCCCGAATGGAGGTTCTCCCCCACCCCATTCTACCACAGAGAGCACTGTAATATCACGTAAACCAGAAGGCATCTTAATTCCTGATGACCATTCTAAATTGTCATCTGGGACTATAATCCTGAACCAGAAAGCAGTGACTCAGTTTGACAGTGAAGGTGTTGGAGTGCCAACAATCGGAGAAGTAGAGTTCCCAAGTGAAATCACTTGGCAGCTGCTAGGGAGTCTCTCAAGTCTGCACCCTGGGACCCCCAGTCCGAGCAGTCAGCGGGACTCCCCACCAAATACCCAGATTTACCAGAGTTCTGAATCCGTCCTGGAAGGAGTCGACAGTGTGAAACTGGGAAAGTCAGTGTTTGTGCTACCTGTCACTACCAGAACCAGTAAGGAGAGACGGAGAATGAATCTTTATGGGCCCTTTAGTCAGATGGCTTTTGATCTGTGAAGATGTCTTGGTGGGTTATATAACCTAAAAAACTGTCTTTTATTCAAACTGACCCTTTTTATAAAAAGGAAAGGGTGGGTAAGGAAGGGGTTTGTAATTCAGGGGAAAAGGTTAATCAGGTAAAAGCTGCAGTCTTGACAGATTTTCCTAGCATACCTTCATCTGTTGACCTGTGATTCTTTATCTGCATCCTGGTCAGCAGACCTCCTCTCCATGGAGCACAGTGGCTCAGATACCTTCTTGATGGCTTACAATCCTGGAGCACAAAGGTTGAATTGCTTGCAGGCCTCTTGGAGTCTAGGCAGGTCTGGTCATACATTTCAGTTCCTGGAACAACAGCTTTCTACCTGCATTAATCACTAAGCCTGTTAACTCTGAAGCTAAAAAATTTTAACTCTTGGGTTTCCCCAGCAGCAACACACTAATAATAGCCTTTCCTGTCTGAAATATGGATGACAGGTTTTGAATTTGTTAGTATGTCCAAAAGCAAGAGGTTTTTCAGTGTGGTTTTATTTGTGAGACTTAACCGATTGTCAAATCTCATTCGACGAGGAGTATGATTAGCTTTTTCAGAGGTGCTGACATTTTTTGTGTTTTCACATTTGTTATAAATCTCACATTCTAAAGTAAATTTAGGCTCTGGCCATTTGGCCTAGTAGGTAAGAGTTTTGTCCCAATACATCAAGGTTGTGGGTTCCGTCCCTGGTCAGGGTACGAGAATCAACACCTTCACTGTCAAATCGAATCACTGCTTTCTGGTTCAGGATTATAGTCCCAGATGACAATTTAGAATGGTCATCCGGAATTAAGGTGCCTTCTGGTTTATGTGATATTACAGGTGGAACAGCAAATTGATGTTTCTGTCCCTCTCTCTAAAAAATC